AGTAATGGATGAAGTATTTTCAAGTAGACCAGATCTTCGTGATTTTCCCATCCAGAACCCTGATGTTCAATATTACACCGACGGCAGTAGTTATGTAAAAGAAGGGATCCGCTATGCAGGATATGCAGTAACAACGATAGACAAGGTGATAGAAGCTCGGCCACTGGCAAAAGGAACATCAGCACAAAAGGCAGAATTGATAGCACTGACACGAGCGTTACAATTGGCTGAAGGTTTAAGAGTGAACATCTACACGGACTCCAAGTATGCGTTTTTAACCACTCATGCCCACGGAGCTTTGTATAAAGAAAGAGGACTATTGAATTCAGAAGGCAAAGAAATCAAATACGCAGCTGAGATCCTACAACTATTGGAAGCAGTGTGGGAGCCGAAAGAAGTCGGTATTATACATTGTCGGGCGCATCTGAGAGGAGATGGTGATGTAACCAAAGGGAATCGGATGGCAGATAGTGCAGCTAAGCGTGCTGCTGAATCAGGAAGACAGGAATATGTGGGGCATATAGCTGCTCTTATACCAACTCCACTGTCTCAATGGACTCCAATTTATACAGCTCAAGAAGAGGAGTGGTTAAGGACTGAACCTGGAAAGTATTTGGAGAACAAATGGTATCAGTTAGAAGATGGAAGAATAGTTATTCCAGCATCACTAGCGGTAGAAATTGTCCAAAACTATCATAACGGGACACATTCTGGGAGAGACAGTACAGAAGAATCTCTCAGAAAACATTTCTACATACCAAGATTGTCCAACTTGACTCAGGCCATTGTACGTAGATGTGTAACGTGTGCTAAAAATAATGCAAGACAAGGACCAGTAAAGCCACCAGGAGTCCAGTTTATGGGGGGACTTCCCATGTCCGATTTACAAATTGACTATACAGTGATGCCTAAATCGGGTGGACATCGCTACCTGCTGGTAGTGGTGTGCACCTATTCAGGCTGGGTAGAAGCATGTCCTACTCGTACAGAGAAAGCAGGAGAAGTCGTGAGATTCCTGCTACGAGAAATAATACCCCGATATGGACTACCCTGCTCTATAGGATCGGACAATGGTCCAGCTTTTGTTCATCAGTGCCTACAACAATTGACTCATATGCTTGGTATAAAGTGGAGGCTTCATACGGCATATAGACCCCAGAGTTCTGGTAAGGTAGAGAGAATGAATAGAACTATTAAGAATCAGTTGGCTAAAATGTGTCAGGAAACCCAACTTAAGTGGAACGTTCTCTTGCCCATAGCTCTATTGCGAATCCGTAGTACACCTACCAGAAGGATGGGCCTCTCTCCTTTTGAAATCATGTACGGGCGACCACCTCCCGTGCTTGGTAACTTAAGGGGGGATTTGAGTCAGTTGGGAGAAGGAATTACCCGGCAGCAGGTTGTAGAGTTGGGTAAGACTATGGAGGAGGTACAGAAATGGGTACAAGATAGATTACCTGTGAATATTTATCCCCCAATTCATAGTTACCACCCAGGCGACCAAGTGTGGATTAAAGAATGGAATAATGTGCCGTTAGGGCCCAAGTGGAGAGGTCCTTATGTTGTTCTTCTGTCTACCCCTACAGCGATAAAAGTAGCCGAAGTGGCTCCGTGGATACATCACTCCAGGGTTAAACCAGCAGCAGCCGATTCCTGGCAAGTTACAGCAAATCCAGAGAATCCCTGCAAGATCCGGTTAAAACGCACGACTCAGTCGGAGTGACGAGGAACCTTGTAGATTACAAATGTTATTGTTTCAGAGACTTGGTAAGTGAGTGAGAAGGCCATAATAAAGCCTGTCCACTCACCAACGAGTGTATAAGTCAGGGAAAGTCTTGAGGGGACCCCTGTGAAGACGAGCAGAACTCCATTCCCTGCAGTCCTTACATCCTGGAAGCTGAGGTGCCTTCACACGGACGAAGACTGAGGATGACGACGAAAGATGTATTTTTAATAATGTTTATTTATGTGTATTTTTATATTCAGGAAGGTAGAGGTACCAACACTCCTAGCTGTGAGGTATGCATTAAGACTACAAGAACAGGTAACCATATATCCCAGACCCTAATTTGGCATTCGCAATATGAGTGTAAAGGAGATGTATCAAGATGTAGATACTTAAATATAGAATATAGTGTGTGTCATTTAGGAGTAGGAGAACCTAAGTGCTTCAGTCCTGAGTATCAACCCCGTACAATTTGGTTGACTCTCAGAAATGGAGATTCTCAGGGGACCCTAATTAATAAGACGGTATTAAAATCCGTATATTCTTCAGGTGCTCTGCTATTTGATGCGTGTAAAGCAATATCAAGTGGTAGAAAGCCGTGGAATGTATGTGGGGATCTTAGATGGGAGAGGACGTATGGGTCTAACGATAAATATATTTGTCCCAGTAGTAAAAATAAATATGTAAGTCCAAGATGCCCAAATAGAGATTATAACTTCTGCCCATATTGGTCTTGTGTGGGGTGGGCGACTTGGGGACAGACAGCAGACAAGGACATGATTGTGACTAAGTTGCCTACTAATCCATATTGTAAGTCTATGGAATGCAATCCAATCCATATACTTATAAATAACCCTGACAAGTTCTTAGATAAATATGGTAATTTATTTGGGTTTCAAATATATGGGACGGGTTTAGACCCTGGGACAATATTGTTTATAGGGATAGAGTCTGATACGGTAACCTCCCAAACTCATCAAGTATACCATTCCTTTTATGAAGAGATGAGCATAGATAATAAGATCCCCCATAATGCTAAAAACTTGTTCATTGATTTAGCCGAGAGTATTGCCGGTAGTCTTAATGTTACCAACTGCTATGTGTGTGGAGGTACTAACATGGGAGACCAATGGCCTTGGGAAGCAAAGGAGGTAATGTCCGGTTCTGAGGCAGTTGACCAATTAATATCTACACAAGCCGACTATCATATGAGTGTTAGAGGTAAATCTGAGTGGAGATTGAAGACCTCCATCATAGGTTATGTTTGCATAGCGAGGAAAGGAATGATGTATAATACTTCTGTAGGAGAATTAACTTGTCTAGGGCAAAAAGCTTATGATGATGATACAAAGAATACAACTTGGTGGTCGGCTTCAAATGTCTCAGAACCATCTAACCCGTTTGCAAGATATGCCAATTTAAAGGACGTATGGTTTGATCTATCCATCACATCTAACTGGAGAGCCCCAGCGAATTTGTACTGGATCTGTGGTAAGAAGGCCTATTCGGAGTTACCACAGGACTGGGAAGGGGCATGTGTGTTGGGTATGTTAAAACCATCCTTCTTCTTGTTGCCTATTGAAACAGGTGAGACTTTAGGTGTTAAAGTGTATGATGTGAATCATAGGAAGAAAAGGGGACCCATAGAGATAGGTGCCTGGGAAGATAATGAATGGCCTCCCCAGCGTATTATAGATTATTATGGGCCAGCCACGTGGGCAGAGGATGGTACCTTTGGTTATAGAACCCCTATTTATATGCTCAACCGCATTATAAGGTTACAGGCGGTGGTTGAGATCATTACTAACGAGACATCACAAGCGCTCAATCTTCTAGCGAAGCATAATACCAGGATGAGGACAGCAGTTTACCAAAATAGATTAGCCTTGGATTATCTTTTGGCAGTAGAGGGAGGTGTATGTGGGAAGTTTAACCTGAGCAATTGCTGTCTTCAAATAGATGACGAAGGGCAAGCAATAGCTGAGCTTACTAGCCATATGGTTAAACTAGCGCATGTGCCTACTCAGGTATGGAAAGGGTACAATCCAAGTAGTTGGTTTGGTAGCTGGTATGAGTGGTTTGGAGGGCTTAAGGCAGTGGTAGGTGGAGTCCTACTGATTTTAATGTTGTGTCTACTCCTGCCGTGTCTTATACCCTTAGTAGTTAGGTCTGTGCAAAGCCTGATAGAAAATATAGCAGAGAGGAAGGCTGCTGCACAGATAATGGCAATTTATAAATATAAGGCTCTAGATCAGGGAGAACCAATGCAGGAAGACGAGTGTTGAAGATTCACATCATAGGATAAGTCTGGTCTGGTTCAAAGGTAACTTGTGGTGTATGCAAACCAAGGTTAAGTGATGCCTCAAGTAATTGTAAAATATCAAGAGGCATCAAAGGGGGGAATGTGGTGGAATCTCGGTAAAAATAAATTTAGTAGGCCGAGATTACCACGTGGCATGTGTACGTGCATATGCTGACGTATCGATCAGTTGGTTGCACGAGGCAAGATACGATCAGTAGTGTACGGAGCATGTGCAAGAATACAGGATGTAGTATTCCCCTCCTCCATTGTGCTGGACAAGCCATGCGGTCAAGCAGGAAGTTAATTCTTATTTGTAATGATTGGTCAAGAGAATGTGCGGGTGGAGCTTAATATGGGAGGAGTTATGTGCCTATATAGGGAGCCTGCACTATTGTTCAGGGCTCAGAACTTGCTGTATTTTTGGTGACATTAGTCCCTCTGAGTCCCGATCGGTGATCCAATAAAGAATCTCTTCCTTCCTGAAGAAACCTGTGTCCATCCCTCTGTGCTTTGCTTCCGTCAGTTTCTCCGGTATCAATATAACATGGGATAAGACAGGATTATTCACTGAACTGAGAAAAGTAAAGAACTGTAAAACAGAATTACAAAACACCGGCCACAATACCTGAACAGAAAACAAACTGAGCTTTGAGTTAATTCATCTGGTAAACATCTAAAAAGACATGGAGGAGGGGGTACACAATGAAACAGTGTCAACAATCAATTGAAGAAACTCTACTTGTGTTGCACAATGCTTTTATTCTATGTCCCCTTCTCTATGGCTTTCTCTATTTTTACAATCTAAATGAAGTATGCGTTAGGACCACCACATGTGGTAGAGATAATGATTTATGTTAAAAAGTGGTCTGGAGAGAGAGTGTAGAACGTGGATAAGTTCTGAGGGCTGGGAAAGAGCCTATTCTAATTGCAAATATTCATTATTCATTAATTTGGTACATGCAATTCCATACATCACCAAGTGGGGGAGCCTTTAATAAGATGATTCACAATGTGTATAGCTGTACTTAAGTCGGAAAATGTTAAGTTGTAGCTCAAACAATGGTGGGAGGGTAAACAAACCTTTTCATTCTCTGTGCTGATCTGGATGGCATTGGGTATAAGTCGAGCAGTCTTTTCCTTTGTCATAGACGTTATATCTCTGAGATTCAAGCATATCTAGAGAGGAAGGATTATACAATCACCACTGGGCATATAAAAGGTTCCAATACGGAATGCCTAATTCATTAACCTCCTCACTGCCTTTACTTTAAAACAGAAATCTAGGGTGAATTTGTAGCACAATAAATGAAGATAACAGCAAAAATAATTATAACTTGATTTTTTAACCTATCCTTTCATTCGTTATAAAAATATTGGATGGCCATTTTTATAGATCCGATGGAATTTCTTCATTTACAATGCCACCTAGGGTCTGGAGAAATAGCATAGAAGGATCATTTTATCACACACCATGGGGGTGACATAAAGGAACATATAATATTGTGATGGGATTCCAGCATGGTCAAAATTTAGTAGGCCAAAATCTCCATGTGGCATATGTGTATGTTGTGTCAGTTGGTTAGCTACATGTAGCTAGGATACTGTCATCAATGTACTGAGCATGTGCAGGAATGCAGGAACTGGAATTGCACTTATTTCCTTTGTCTTGGATGAGCCATGTGGTTTGACTAGATGTACAAGTCTATATTCTGCTCATTGATTGGTTAAAGGTATATGTGGGTGTAGCTATTAATGGGAGGAGTTATAGTGCTATATAAGGAATGTACACTATGTGTTGGTCTCTCAGATCTTTTGGAACAGGAGTTCATCTGAGACCCGATCGGTAATGTGAATAAAGGCCTGTTACTTCCTGAAGACTTGTGTCCAATATTTCTGTGTTTGGCTTCTGCATGCTTACACTGCAACAATATATTTAAATAACTTGACAATGGGTATTTGTAAGACACCTGTTGTCATTTAGTTGGTAAAAGATGCTTGTTTGTGGGCATAATGTACACATACAGTAACTGCAAATGTCTGGATAAAACCAGCCATCTGTACTATTTTAGCTATTGCAGGCTGAAAAGAAATCCTACAGTGTGATATTGTCACGCTGCCCTCTGGGTCCGCTCCTGCCAGAGTGTGGTATGGATCCGGGCGGACGCGCATCGTTGCGGCGGCATTCCCATACATCAAGGTGAATGCCTCCAAATACCTACCCGGTCTGCAGGCACCCGCCGGGTCTGCTCGTGCGCATCTCGTTGTGGCGGCATTCCCACATGGTAAGGGGAATGCTGCCTATCACTTACCTCCTCACGAGATGCCTCCGGCCTCACTGACAGGAATTCCTCCCCCTCACACAGTGGCCAGGTCTGTAACCATTAGAGACGTTGGCCGCTGCAAGTTAGAACCTTTTAAGGGTTTTGTTATTAACCCTTAGAGTGCCATACCTTTTGGAACGTGTGGGTGATGTCACACACAAACGTTCACTATCACATGCGTCTCTGCAGCCAATCAGGGAGCACCTTAGGCTATTGAAACCTTTTTTGTCCATTTCTCTCTGCCCAGTCGTGGTTTCCATTCTGGTTATTCAAGAGCGCGTTTCTGATATTGATTCTTGTGTATTTTGACCTTTGGCTTTCCTACTGAATATCCGATTTCAGTATTCCTTGACCTTTGGCTTGGCTCCTGACTATTCTGACTTCTATATTCCTCGACCTTTGGCTTGTTATAGTTTCCATGATTTCTGTGTTCTTGTCCACAGCCTGTCTTGTGTTTTTTCCTCTTATACGTTACATCTGGCCATTCTAAGGCCCGGCGGTAATACGTCTTAGGGTTTTCTTTATTTTTTATTTAAGTTCTGCGTGTTGGGCATTAGTTTATCCTGACAGATATTTACAGTAACCCCAGCAATGAAATTTGTCTCTCTGTTGGGTAAAGGTACAAAACTAAATTTCGCTTATGTATAAGTATGGTTTGGATTGAAGGGGTTAATAAAATCAAAAGGTCCACAACTCAGTTATACACAGTGCAGAATTATCTCTACCAAAAAAGATAAGATAAGACTGCAAGACAACCAGAGATGTCCCAGTGAATAAAGTTACAGACTCTTACTGACCGATAGCTAGTATTGCTTCATTGTGGACACTGAGCGAGATGCCAAGTTATGCACCATTGTGAGTATAAAAATTAAATAAACATCAGGACAGAACTGTTGGTGGCTAAATTTAAACCAAACATTGCTCGCCATGGAAGACATTGTAAGAGACTGTAACTCTTAGTATGCTCAGTCAGCCCGACGGTGGCTCAATCACTCAGCATGCTGGACGTAGGATGTATAGCACCATCTAATCTTACCGAGGTTTCCCATCGGAAGATGTTGCTGTGGAAACAGATGCAGTTTTCGGAGAGGTAAACACGCCCTTGAAGTAAGATGTCTTTCTGAAGGGCACAAGCGTAATCTGGAGACAGAACACACAGGAAATTATTCAATAAATTAATGCTTGGAGGTTGGCACGAAGCAAAATAATGTCCTGTTACCTTAATTTCTGCTGGTAATACTTTATCAAGATTGGTCAAAATGTGTTAGCATTATTATGTTTGTAATTGTGTACCTTGTAAGCGTTAATAACTACATAAAAAATTCACGAGTTGTTAATCAGACATGTCCACCCACTCTGACATGTAAAACATTTGCTAAAAAAATATTTAAATTTATATTGTAAAAAAAAGTAAGAAAAACATATTAATAACACAACAGTGCAGGAGGGGACTTACCAAGGGTTCAGCTGGTGCAACCATACCAGGGGCTATCACAGTCACCATGCGGCTCTTTCCAAGCCGCACCGAAAGTGGCCAAAACAGGTGCCATGGGGAAGGTATGTGTAAAGTGGGCATGGCAGAAGGGAGAACAGGGCTACGCGTGTGCATATGGGTCAGGGTTTGTAGAGCTATATGTGTGTCAGTGAGTGTATCTGTGCAAGTGTGTGTATATGCACATGTGTGTCAGAGTGTGTATCTGTGCATGTGTGCGTCAGTATAACTCTTCTTGTGTGTCAATCTCTGTGTGTCAGGTGTCAGTGTGTTTGTGTCTGTGTATATATGCATGTAGCAGACTATGTGTGTGTTTGTGTGTGTGACAATGTGTATATGTGAACACACGCTTTCGTGTAAACACCAGCATCATACACAAACATACCATAGCATTGAAGCACTAAACACTACACTGCATTTAAACACTGACACTACACAAACACACCCTTGTAGTCAAACCCCAACATTAAACAGAAATCCACCCCTGCATTCAAACACCAACACTGTACATAAAAAAGCTTTGTGTGAAAACACTAACACAACAAACAAACACACCCCTGCATTTAAATACTAACGCTACAAAAACACAACTCTGAATTCAAACACCAACACAACACACAAATAGCCCCTATTCTTGCGTTGGCTATATACACAAAATACACACTTACACACACACACTTTCACACACATACTCCATACAAACACTTTCCTACATTCACACACAGGCACTGCATACACATACAACCCTATACGAATGGACAAACGGTAGACTTACAACTGACAAAACATCGTTAGAGTTGTACAATAGTTATCTTTTGGCCACGCCTGCTCTCACTTCAGGTGAATGAGAAAGTCTTGTAAATTAAATCTGTTCCCCACTGACATCAGCAAATTGACTTGTGAAACTATTTGACTTCCTGTGTTTACAAATACAAATAAATAATGTGGTTTCAATTTCCCCTCGAATTCCCCATTAAAGGAGTTATGTATTGTAGCTTGTGAATGCTGGATGTTCACGGCACTATTTATTTATTTATTTATTTAATTGATTGTATTCATCAAGTATCACGTACAAAATATAGAATGACAAGAGGCAATCCACAAGTCACTAATATCAGATTCCATTCCAGTGACTTGTTCCATAGACCCTCTTACCTACTATCAGCTTGTCATTCTCTGGTAGCTCTTTAAACAGCCTTCGGAACTCCTCACTCCTCTGCTTGTAGGTGGAGCTCGAGACCTGGAAGAGGTAAACGGAGGGTTAAAGGTAGATGTAGTATATTATGCTTACATCATAACACATTGCAGTTTAAAGGGACACTATAGTCACCTGAACAACTATAGCTTAATGTAGTTGTTCAGGTGAGATCTATAGCTCCCTGCAGGCAATCTAATGTAAAAACTGTATTTTCAGAGAAAATACACTGTTTACATTGATTGATAGGAATACCTGTTTGGTATACTTCTCATGAGTGATGACTCATCCATAGGGTCACACAGGGCAGCTCCCCAGACAACTGTTTTGTAATTATAAAAATAGCCAAACTGAAAAAAAATATCTGTCAGTTTTGCTTTCATTTACGGTATTTTGAAACAGTAACAGTAAAATGTCTGTATGTGACATTGACGTGATATTGTTTCTATAAAGATTCAGTCATCGCTTTATACAACTTATAGGTCAGCCTTAGCATATAATACTGCCATCAAACTCTACAGATCTAAGTACAGTAAGGAAATAATAAATCTTAGTGTTACCAGAAATATTAAAAAGATACAATACATTTTCAGCGCCGAGATATAGATCAAAGGTGGAGATAGACAGTTCCTGGTAGTGGAGTTAAAACAATGGCCTGCAAGACTTTGAGGTAGCATATGATCATGTAAGGAAGGCTAGCTTAAAAAAGGTGAAGGAGAGCATCTGATAAGAGTTCCATGCAGTATTTACATGAAATGAAGAAATGATTTTATTGTATGATATTACTTTATTTAGAAAGCAAATAATGTAGCTATGTATGATAAGGAGACAACCCATACAGATATTAGACAGTTTAATAAATGTAGTTAGAACAAAAAAAAAGACACCCGGTGGGGTCTTGATTAGACGAGTGAACATCAGGTGGATGTGAAATAAAGGACACCCTTACAAGCGGCACACGGTTCATTGTACACATTGTCTTAGGGGATCTCTGCAAACATTCTGTTTTGTTCTTGTGCAGCACATTACCAATGCCCGGCTGTTCACCAATTCGACTATTAGTATAGTGTTACGTTTATTTGCACTTTAGGTGTAAATTATACAGCTTTACTGCTACAAGTAGATCTCATCAGGAAACGAGATAGCACACACCGATAGGAATCTACTCCGTGTGTCACAGGCCTGGGATCATGTCACACACAGAAAACGTTCATTAAATAGGACATGGCATACACAAACTAGACGGGTGAAAGTCTAATTAGCAGCATTCTGGGAGATATTACACTGATCAACCACAACAATAAAACATTGAATAATATTGATTATATCGTTACAATGACCTGTCAAGTGGTGGGATAAATTTGTCAGAAAGTGAACAGTCAGTTCTTTAAAGGATCACGATAGAGTCAGGAACACAAACAAATCTCTACATAATGCTGCTCCCACCTATCTGTCCTCCCTTATACACAAGTATGTCCCGTCCTAGGCCCTTACGATACGCTAGACGTATCCCACCTCTGATGCTCCCCTTCAAGATTTCTCGAGGGCTGCACCGTTCCTGTGGAACTCGTTTCCCTCCTCCGTTAGATGCTCACCCAGTCTCCACTCCTTCAAAAAAATCATTAAAAACCCACTTCTTCATAAAAGCGTATCAATTAAACTGTTAATAGCTCCTGACTGATTCCTCTTCTGCAACTGTCACTAGTCTAATACTATTGTAACGGCTACCCAGGTAGTCAGAGGGTATCAGCCGTTGGAGACGTCCTTTTCTTCCTGACAAGTCGCTGTATAGTTGCTTATTCCCATCCACTGGATCCAAGGCAGGAGTCAGGTACAGCTCTTAAAAGAGCTAAGTGATTATGCTGCATATTCCCTTTCAATAACGAGACAAGGCTACGTTTTGAAGGGTCAAGAAGAACTGGCTTTTAATGGCAGGTACTCTCTTTTTATGTGATTCTGCCCATGCAAGGGAGACACCCACATAATTAACAAAACAACCAATACAACATAAGGTACATCCCACACATCTCCTCCCCTCAGATTAGCTTGTAACCCAATTAACAAAGACACATTTTTCCCCAAGTTTTGGATGTATCGCTATTCTGGGGGACCAACATATAAAAAAATCAGCTCATTCGGTTCAGTGGTTCAGGAGATATGGAGCTTTAAAGTTTTGGTCTTTGTTCACGCATAAAAAGGTCCCGAAAGGCTTGCCATTCGTGCGTAACTCGACGTTCGCCGGAATCCCCATATGCTACTAAGTCTTTCTACCGAACGGCAGGTTGTTCGGTAGTTTTGGCACGATTTCCCGGTGCTATGGAGGTCTCAGCGGTGTTCGCCTACTCGAGTGTCCGATTTTAGTTCCAGACACTCGACGGCAAAACACCGCTGTTCGGGAGTTAAGATGGCCGCGAACACGTGTAAAAGTCCCGAAATGGCGGCCACCCAGGCACTTCACAAAAGCGTTCGTAGCAGGGTGGTCCGGTGTTCGGTAGTTTGCATTCGTATGATGAATGCTTTAAACGTCCCGAACTGCTGTATAGCAAAATCCTCATGAAAGCAGGTAAGGCTCTTCAATTTGTTACAAATATCCTTACCTTTTTGTGTCATTTTACCCCACTCCCTCTAGCATGTAAGCTCATTGAGCAGGGCCCTCAACCCCTCTGTTCCTGTGTGTCCAACTTGTCTGGTTACAACTACATGTCTGTTCGTCCACCCATTGTAAAGCGCTGCAGAATTTGACGGCACTCTAGAAATATCATAATATCATAATAATAATAATGTATTCCTGACCCTATAGTGTTAACACCACCATCTAGCCCCCCTGGGCGCCTCATGCCTCCATAAATATAGCAAACTCTTACTGTATTCAAGCCTGAAGCTGTAACTCTGCATGCTGTTGGTGGCTTGATCCAATCACAGTGCTTCCCCGTAGGATTGGCTGAGACTGACAAAGAGGCAAATCAGGGGCAGAGCCAGCATGATTCAAACACAGCCTTGGCCAATCAGCATCTCCTCATAGATATGAATTGAATCAATGTATCTCTATGAGGAAAGTTCAGTGTCTGCATGCAGAGGGAGGAGATACTGAATGTTTGGATGCATTTTAGGCAGCCATGACCCAGGAAGGATCTCTAACAGCCATCTGAGGAGTGGCCAGTGAAGTTATCACTAGGCTGTAATGTAAACACTGCATTGTTTCTGAAAAGACAGAGCTTACAGCAAAAAGCCTGAAGGTAATGATTCTACTCACCAGAACAAATACAATAAGCTGTAGTTGTTCTGGTGACTATAGTGTCCTTTTAATTTCTGATAATTCAGGTTTTCTTTTAGATCAGGTGGATGGTCTTGTGCATTGTTTACCTGGGGAAGAGATGGCAGCAGGATGCACTAAGGAAGGAAGACAGTGTTATGCTCTGGACAACGTTCTGCAGAGAAACCTTGGGTCCAGACATACATGTGGATGTTACTTTAACATGTACCACCTACCTAGAGATTTTTGCAGACCACATAACTAACCTTCATGGCAATGATGTTCCCTGATGGCAGTGGTCTCATTTAAAAAAGTATCGTTAATTTTCCGGTCTCTAATATAACTGGAAGTTAAAGTGCTGCGGAGATTTCCCACTCCTCTATGAATAAAACGTGGCTTTTCCAATAAAATAGTTTCCAAAGCTGGATATTGCCGTAAAATAGGCCAAAACTTATAAATAATATTTCTAATTTTACCATTTTCCAAACTATAATTGCAGATAAAAGTACATCTTCCACATTCTGTTTTATCCTCTCTTTATACACTCAGGGCCGGCCTTAGGGGTGTGCGAGCTGTGCGGCCGCACAGGGCGCCATGGCAACAGGGGCGCCGGGCGGCCAACACAGCTCGCAGGCCGGCCGAGTTCTGTATTTAACCCCTTAAGGACGGAGCCAAATGTACACGTTGTGAACAAAACAAAATGTAAACAAAACCTGGCATTTGCGCTACATGTCTGTCCAACCGTAATACACCTCTTTCATAGTAAATGCACCCACCCTTATTATATATCATTTTATTCAGGGGAAACAGGGCTTTCATTTAATATCAAATATTTAACTATGAAACATAATTTAATATGAAAAAATGGGAGAAAACTGATTTTTATTGATTTTAGTTCTACACATTTAAACGGTCAGTGTCATAATACTGTTTGCTTTACTGCAATAAAATGTACATATTTGTATTCGTAGCAAAGTCTCACGTGTAAAACAGTACCCCTATGTACAGGTTTATGGCGCCTGGGGAAGCAGGTCAAATATAGCACGCTACATTTGAATTACTCGCTATTGTTATGCTGCTCTTGGCACTGTGGCGGTAGCCCGGGAATGAAATTTACACTCATAATGGCATACCATTTGCAATAGTAGACAACCCAAGGTATTGCAAATGGGGTATGTCCAGTCTTTTTTAGTAGCCATTTGGTCACAAACACTGGCCAAAGTTAGCGTTAGTATCTGTTTGTGTGAAAAATGCAAAAAAACGCCAATTTTGGCCAGTGTTTGTGACTAAGTGGCTACTAAAGACTGGACATACCCTGTTTGCAATACCTTGGGTTGTCTACTATTGCAAATGGTATGCCATCATAGGGGTAATTTTCATTCTTGGGCTACCATAGGGTCACGAAGGCAACGTAACCAATCTGGCGAATTTTAATGTGAAAATGTGCCCAAAGCCTTATTTGACGCTGTAATCTTTGAAAAATTGAATTATAAAATCTGTACGAGGGTACTATTACTGGAGACTTCGCTGAACACAAATATTTGTGTTTCAAAACAGTAAAAAGTATCACAGCAATAATATTGTCCGTGTAATGCCGTTTGTGCGTGAAAAATGCAAAAAACTTCACTTTTACTGGCGATATCATCGTTGTAATACATTTTACTGTTTTGAAACACTAATATTTGTGTTCAGCGAAGTCTCCCCGAGTAGAACAGTACCCCCCATGTACAGGTTTTATGGTGTCTTGGAAAGTTATAGGGTTAAATATAGTGCTAGCAAATTAAATTTCCTTTACTTTCGGCATGGGTTGTCAGGCAGGTCCCGCTAATTGTAATTAATTAAGATACCCAATTATGTAAAAATATTACATAAATATATATGTAGAATTAATATATGTATATATATACATATGTGAATATATATGTATATATATATATATATATATATATATAATTTTTAAAAAATATTTTTATTTATATATAGGTATATATATAGTGATATATACGCATATATTTATGTATATAGATATATATATTATTTCGTTCTACGTGTATTTTGATATATATATATATATATTAATTTCACAATACAGTTAGAACGAAATAACACACATCTAAATATTTTAATTATTTCTTATTTCTTTTAACCTCTATTTTTTGTAATTTTTATTTTTAAATCTATTTACATTTTAATTTTTTTATATTATATATAAATATATATATAACAATAATTATATATATATTTAATCAGTATCAGTCTACGTGTAATTTGATATTAATATATATATATAATTATATATATATTAATAGTAAAATACACCTAGACGTTGTACATGTGTGTATGTATATGTGTATATATATACTTTGATCATATATATATAATATATATATATGATCTAAGTATATATTATTTATTTTTTTACACTATTTATTTATTTCATATTTATTTTCAGCCAGCAGGGGGACCACCTGTCATTAATTTTCGTTAATTTTCCGGTCTCTAATATAACTGGAAGTTAAAGTGCTGCGGAGATTTCCCACTCCTCTATGAATAAAACGTGGCTTTTCCAATAAAATAGTTTCCAAAGCTGGATATTGCCGTAAAATAGGCCAAAACTTATAAATAATATTTCTAATTTTACCATTTTCCAAACTATAATTGCAGATAAAAGTACATCTTCCACATTCTGTTTTATCCTCTCTTTATACATTCCTTCCAGGGCCGTCATGGTAGCTGTGCTACCGCACAGGGCCATGCGTAAGGCAACAGGGCGCCGGGCGCCAACACACAGCTCTCGCAGGCCGGCCGTGCCCTGCATTAACTCTAAGGACGGAGCTAAATGTACACGTTGTGAACAAAACAAAATGTAAACAAAACCTGGCATTTGCGCTACATGTCTGTCCAACCGTAATTCACCTCTTTTATAGTAAATGCACCCACCCTTATTATATATCATTTTATTCAGGGGAAACAGGGCTTTCATTTAATATCAAATATTTAGCTATGAAACATAATTTAATATGAAAAAAATGGGAGAAAATCCGATTTTATTGGATTTTTTTAGTTCTACATGACATTTAAACGGTCAGTGTCATAATACTGTTTGCTTTTACTGCAATAAAATACACATATTTGTATTCAGCAAAGTCTCACGTGTAAAACAGTACCCCCTATGTACAGGTTTTATGGCGTTTTGGGAAGTTACAGGGTCAAATATAGCATCTATATTTGAAATTGAGTTCTTCACAGATTGGTTACGCTTTGCCTTGAGACTGTATAGTAGCCCTCGGAATGAATACACCTATAATGGCATACCATTTGCAATAGTAGACAACCCAAGGTATTGCAAATGGGGTATGTCCAGTCTTTTAGTAGCCATTTGGTCACAAACACTGGCCAAAGTTAGCGTTAGTATCTGTTTGTGTGAAAAATGCAAAAAAACGCCAATTTTGGCCAGTGTTTGTGACTAAGTGGCTACTAAAAAAGACTGGACATACCCTGTTTGTAATACCTTGGGTTGTCTACTATTGCAAATGGTATGCCATCATAGGGGTAATTTTCATTCTTGGGCTACCATAGGGTCTCAAAGGCAACGTAACCAATCTGGCGAATTTTAATGTGAAAAAATGAAACGCAAGCCTTATATTTGACGCTGTAACTTTTGAAAACACCATAAAACCTGTACATGAGGGGTACTGTTGTACTCGGGAGACTTCACTGAACACAAATATTTGTGTTTCAAAACAGTAAAAAGTATCATAGCAATAATATAGTCCGTTTAATGCTGTTTGTGCGTGAAAAATGCAAAAAACGTCACTTTTACTGGCGATATCATCGTTGTAATACATTTTACTGTTTTGAAACACTAATTTGTGTTCAGCGAAGTCTCCCGAGTAGAACAGTACCCCCCATGTACAGGTTTTATGGTGTCTTGGAATGTTATAGGGTTAAATATAGTGCTAGCAAATTAAATTCCCTTTACTTTCGGCATGGGTTGTCATGCAGGTCCTGCTAATTGTAATTAATTAAGATACCTAATTATGAAAAAATATTACATAAATATATATGTAGAATCAATATATGTATATATATACGTATGTGTATATATATGTATATATCTATATAATTTTTTTAAAATATTTTTATTTATATATGGGTATATATATAGTGATATATACGTATATATTTATGTGTATAAATATATATATTATTTCGTTCTATGTGTATTTTGATATATATATATATATATATTAATTTCACAATACAGTTAGAACGAAATAACACACATCTATATATTTTTAATTATTTATTTTTAATTATTTTTGTAATTTTATTTTTTAACGTATTTACATTTTAATTTTTTTTATAATATATATAAATATATATATAACAATAATTATGTATATATTTAATCAGTATCAGTGTACGTGTAATTTGATATTAATATATATATATAATTATATATATATTAATAGTAAAATACACCTAGACGGTGTACATGTGTGTATGTATATGTGTATATATATACTTTGATCATATATATAATATATATATATGATCTAAGTATATATTATTTATTTTTTTACACTATTTATTTATTTCATTTTATTTTCAGCCAGCAGGGGGACCACCTGTCATTACAGGCAGCCCCCCTGCTGGCAATACAGAAGCCAGCTATCCCCGGCCATGTGATTGTGGGGTCCTCGCTAGGACCCCACTCTCACACGGCCGGGGGGCTTCCTGGAGGACGGTCGTGCCGCGGGGGGCTCCCTGGGAGTCCCCCCCACCGCGATCGCCGGCGTGGGACCGCCGGCGACCGGGTAAGTACAGAAAGACCGGAGGGCGTACTATTACGCCCGGCGGCGTTTAGAGCCGCCTATTAGAGGACGTAATAGTACGCCCTCCGGTCTTAAGGGGTTAAAGTGCAAGTCAAGTGCATAATACTGCTTTGCACTTGACTTGCAAATTATGAGCAGAGAGCCGCCGCCGGGAATCCACTTCTGTATGGAGGGTGGAGGAGGAGCGTGGGGGCGTTATGCAGCGTACTTGCGTAACGTCGACGTGCTCTGTCATCAGGATCCAATTCAGTGAGTGAAGGCGGCACCCGGTGCTCTTCAATCGGCGGAGACAGCTCAGTCCAGGGAGCAGCAGCCTTTACTGTGAGTGACTTTTTTTTTCTTTTTTATTAAATAGGTTTTGTTGAAGAGGTGCAGGAATTTAATTAAGGGGGGCAGGGGATTGATGAAGGGGTGGCATGGATTGCATTAATTGGCAGGGGATTTATTAAGGGGGCTGATAAAGGGTGGCAGGAAACTGAAAAGGGGGGCATGGGGCTGATTAAAGGGGGCAGGTGGTTGATAAAGGAGTGGGAGGGGATTGATGAGGAGATCAGGGGGCTGATGAAATGGGGGCAGATGGCTGATAAATAGGTGGGAGGGAATTGATGAGGGGGCAGGGGACTGATGAAGGGGTGGCCAGGGGTTGGATTATTTGGCATGGGATGTATTAAGGGGGCTGATGAAGGGGAGCAGGGGGTTGAAAAGGGGGGCATGGGACTGATTAAAGGGGGGCAGGTGGGTGATAGGGGTGGGAGGGTACTGATGAGGGGGTCAGGGGGCTGATAAAAGGGGGAGGGGATTGGTGAGGGGGTCAGGGGACTGATGAATGGGGCAGAGGGCTGTTAAAGGGGTGGGAGGGGATTGATTAGGGGGTCAGGCAGCTGATGAATAGGGGCAGAGGGCTGAGTAAAGGGTGGGAGGGAATTGATGAGAGGGGCAGGGGACTGATGAAGGGGTGGCAGGAATTGATAAAGGGGTGGGAGGGGATTGATGAAGGGTAAGGGGTGGCTAGGAGTTTGACGAAGGGATGGCCAGGGCATTGATGAAGGGGAAGGGGTGGCCAGGAGTTTGATGAAGTGGTGGCCAGGGGCTTGGTGAAGATCTGGCCAGGGATTTTGGTTAAGAGGTGCAGTGGTTTTGTAGAAGGGGGTGGAGGCAACAGATTGTGAATGCTCCTAAAATAGTTTGAAGGGGTCCAAACAGAGACAGGTGAGGGGGGGGGGGCACCACAAGATTGTTTCGCACAGGGCGCCTGAACACCTAAGGCCGGCCCTGTATACACTAGAAGGCCCTCCCTTTCTGTATCTTTCACTCTCAATCTAGCTTCTTCTAACTTATTTTCTTCATATCCTTTTTCCAAAAAAGCATTCTTAATTTTAGTCGATTGATCCTCATAATAACCTAAATCTGTACAGTTACGCTTGATGCGTAAAAATTGGCCCCTGGGTGCATTTTCCAGCCAAGGAGTGAAATGGCAGCTTTCTCTATTAATAAAACTATTGACATCAACTGTCTTAAAAAAAATCTTAATTTTAATCACTCCATCTTCTATAAAAATAGTTAAATCTAAAAAGGCTATTTCTAAATTGCTCCATGTACTAGTTAATTTAATACCCCAAGTATTAGAATTTAAAAAAGTAAGAAATTCTTGCAAAGACTCCTCTCTATCTTTCCAAATAAAGAAAATATCGTCGATATAACGGCCATAGGTGACCAAGTTCTCACCCCAGCCATGTCCGTCATATACAAACAAACGTTCCCAATATGACATAAATATATTGGCATAGCTGGGGGCGAACTTGGTCCCCATGGCAGTCCCATTGATCTGGAGGTAAAAATCCTCTCCAAACCAGAATTTTTTTTTATCTAAAATAAGTCTAATACCTTCCAACACATATTCTATTTGGATATCTCTCATGTCTGTGGAATTCCTTAAAAACCAATCTACGGCTTCACATCCATAAATGTGGGGTATATTACTGTATAGGGCTGTGACATCGCATGTAACTAATAACCAGCCCTCTTCCCAAACATTTAATTTTAATAGGTTCAAAACTGCTGTTGTATCTTTTATATATGATCTAGTTTTTGAAACTACAGGTTGCAATTGTAGATCGATGTAATGAGATAACCTACTAGAAATAGAGTCTATCCCTGCGACTATAGGTCTCCCTGGTGGATATTCTACATTCTTGTGGATCTTAGGGAGAAAATAAAAAAACAGGTGTTTTAGGATATGGGATATTCATATAGTCAAATTATTTTTTATTTAGGATTTCTAATTCTAGGCCTTTTGTTAAAAAAGCTCTAAATTTTTCTTCTATAGTGCTGCTAGGGTTAATAGTTAATTTTTTATAGGTAGTAACATCTATCAAAATACGTGAAGCTATTGTAGAATTCTTTAGACATAACCACTATTCCTCCCCCTTTGTCCGCTGGTTTTATCACTAAGTTATCATTGTTTTTCAATTCCCTTAGCGCTTTCCTTTCCTTTATTGATAAATTATCATTAAATTTATCCTTTGTTTTTATCTTTCTGTACTCATTCAAGACCATAGTCTCAAATGTTATCATACTTTCTGAAATCATATGTTTAGGAAAGAAACTCGATTTCTTTCTAAGGCCTGTATGCTTAAATTCATTATCCCACTCAAGTTGTCTTTCTATAGGATTTTTAAGGAAGAATTTTTTTCAAACATAAATTTCTTTTAAACTTATTTAAATCCACATAAAAATCTAAATGATTCTGATGCTTGCTTGGGGCAAATTTTAACCCTTTACTGAGAGTATTTACCTGATCTTTTGTTAACTCTATGTTGCTTATATTATAAATATCCATTTCCTTCATAGTTACAGGGTTCATAGGTTCTTTCTCCATGGCCTCTATTTCCTTTCTCTCCTGTCTTCTTTTGATTGATTTACCTCCTCTCCTTCCGCTTGTGTCGAATCTCTTCGTCTTTTGTGATATAAAAGTTGATCTGCTCCCTGTTCTCTCTTGTGTCTCTCTATCTGACGACTCCTCCAAAAATCCTGTTCCGGTTCTTGTTCTTCCTTATTACGATTTAGCTTTGCAGTGTTACACTATTGGAGTACTTTTTTCCCCCTCTGTTTTAGGTATACTGTATACGATATTCGGACTATTCTCATCGGGACGTTTCTTTCACTAGGTTCAGTCCTATTGTATGTATATAGCGCTACACCTTTTTCTTTTTTGTATTCCTATTTGTATTGATGTAAGTAAGAAAGATTGCATCTAGGTGTTACAGCAGCTTTTTTAGTGTTTCTACTAGAGAGTGTTATATTCTGTTTTAGCGCCAGTATATTGTTTTTATTTCTAAATAAAAGGAGATGTTAAAAGAGAAGGCTATGAGCTGATTGAATGAAGACACATTTCTGGATTTTTTTCCTACTCAGTACTGGAGTGTCCATGAGGTGAGTAAGCTCCAGGTAGGAGCAAATAAAGCCGTAAAAAATCTTTCTTGAAAGATTTAGACTGTCGGAACCTTTGGTGGCATAGCCACTGCCACTTCCATTGTAAGCCATGTGGACACGCTCTGGCAGTCACACAGGATGATGTCACTCTAAGACATGTTGGAGTGTAACCATGTGGCACTGGCTGCCTGCCATCTGACCCCTCTCAGTGACCCCTCACATGTGAACACAGACAGTAAACAGATCTGTTAAAGTGTGTCATCGCATTGCTGCTCACTGTTAGCTGAATTCCTAAATATCACTTCCAGGTCCAGGATCCTCTGTGTGTAATATCTGGAAGATATGTTGGAAGCAAAGCTTATTAATTACTGTACAGAAGCTTTATTCCACCAGTTCTAGATCCCTGTTACCCCAGCTTCGATACTGAGATGCCTGTATAATGAGATAATATGCCACTGTGGCATATATGTATGGTGGCAATAAAGGGTTAATTGTCCTGTTGGTACAGTTAAGGAAAGTTTAGTGAGAGTTCATGGCCCCTGGTTAGGTTGTTGGGCAGAGTGGGACAAGTAGCTGGGCTGAGGATTGGCTGCTAGCCACAAAAAGTCATCCTCAGGTTCAAGTTCAGAGGAAGGATATGTGCTAAATGGTTGTATATAAAAGGCGGTCAGGTTAGCTATGACTGACTGGCAATTAAGTGATGGTAAAAGTTTATGTAAATATGTTACCGTTATCACATTATGGTGGTATGCCCACTGTTCAAGCTTTAATAAACACTACGGCCAAGCCCATTGAAATATAAACAAACTGTGTCTGTGTTTATTGTGTGGTCTAAGTTATTTATGCAACATATTGCCTACCATACATAAGAGGTTAGATGCTTTCTACCCAACTGTTCTTCTAAGGCGTCCTATTCCACCAAAGAGGATACATTTCGTCAAACCCAAAGAACCTTATTCCACCAAATTATGGGATAAGAGTTCTATTTGAGCAAACTAGCAGGTAAACTACATCTAAGATAACTATTCTCTGTTACGAAGGCGCTAACTCCCAAACTAGTGGTTAAATGCCTACTAACCCAGCTTCTTTAATACGAAGATAATGTTCCAGTTAATGGATAAATTACTGCTGAACAGCTGTTACAAAGAGTCCATTCCAGCAAGTAAGAGCTAAGACGCTGGCTAAACAACTGCTTTCATTTACACAGTTCTAGATCCAATACTGCTTTATAGTGCCGACTATGACACAAGTGAGGACAGAATGGCATAGAATAAACTACAATTCTCGCCTTTCCTGTGCATTAGTATACTGCCCTGTGTATCCTGGCAAAGTATATAAACATTGGAAATAATATATGGCATTGATTAATGGGACCCAACAACCTGCAGTGCACTGCCGGTACATGAAAGAGTTAAAGGCCCGTAGGTATGGAAAACAAACATGTAAGCCTCAGTAATTATGTACAGAACATTTGCCTGGGGTGTTTTATTTGCATCCATTAGAGCAGAACAACCGATCACAAAGCTATAAAACCACTGTGATACCATTATACAAGACACACACAATGAGAGCTTTGTGATGAGAAGAGACATCTTGTGAGCCAGGCGGGAGTATTACATGACTCTTTAAATTATGTATACGGTCACAGCTCACTCTGACTCCTTAAAGCAACAGATAGTCACGTGAGACAACCTGGTTATCAGAACTTTCTATGTACTATCATTAAAATGAAAACTTGTCTGTACCACCATCCGGGAATGGATACAGAACATGCAGGGAGCAAATCTACAGCATGACTGTGTAATACAGAGTGTGTACCTTCTATAACATGACTGTGTAATACAGAGGGTGTACCTTCTATAACATGACTGTGTAATAGAGAGTGTACCTTCTATAGCATGGCTGTGTAATACAAAGCGTGTACCTTCTATAACATGGCTGTGTAATACAGAGTGTGTACCTTCTATAGCATGGCTGTGTAATACAAAGCGTGTACCTTCTATAACATGGCTGTGTAATACAGAGAGTGTACCTTCTATAACATGGCTGTGTAATACAAAGCGTGTACCTTCTATAACATGGCTGTGTAATACAGAATGTGTACCTTCTATGGCATGGCTGTGTAATACAGAGGGTGTACCTTCTATAACATGGCTGTGTAATAGAGAGTGTACCTTCTATAACATGGCTGTGTAATACAGAGTGTGTACCTTCTATAGCATGGCTGTGTAATACAAAGCGTGTACCTTCTATAACATGGCTGTGTAATACAGAGAGTGTACCTTCTATAACATGGCTGTGTAATACAAAGCGTGTACCTTCTATAACATGGCTGTGTAATACAGAATGTGTACCTTCTATGGCATGGCTGTGTAATACAGAGGGTGTACCTTCTATAACATGGCTGTGTAATAGAGAGGGTGTACCTTCTATAGCATGACTGTGTAATACAGAGCATGTACCTTCTCTAACATGGCTGTGTAATACAGACTGTGTACCTTCTATAGCATGGCTGTGTAATACAGAGTGTGTACCTTCTATAACATGACTGTGTAATACAGAGGGTGTACCTTCTATAACATGACTGTGTAATACAGAGCGTGTACCTTCTATAACATGGCTGTGTAATATAGAGGGTGTACCTTCTATAGCATGGCTGTGTAATACAGAGAGTGTACCTTCTATAACATGACTGTGTAATACAGAGCATGTACCTTCTATAGCATGGCTGTGTAATACAGAGGGTGTACCTTCTATAGCATGGCTGTGTAATACAGAGGGTGTACCTTCTATAGTATGACTGTGTAATACAGACTGTGTACCTTCTATAACATGGCTGTGTAATACAGAGTGTGTACCTTCTATAGCATGGCTGTGTAATACAGAGGGTGTACCTTCTATAGCATGGCTGTGTAATACAGAGGGTGTACCTTCTATAGTATGACTGTGTAATACAGACTGTGTACCTTCTATAACATGGCTGTGTAATACAGAGTGTGTACCTTCTATAGCATGGCTGTGTAATACAGAGGGTGTACCTTCTACAGCATGGCTGTGTAATACAGAGGGTGTACCTTCTATAGTATGACTGTGTAATACAGACTGTGTACCTTCTATAGCATGGCTGTGTAATACAGAGCGTGTACCTTCTATAGCATGGCTGTGTAATACAGAGCGTGTACCTTCTATAGCATGGCTGTGTAATACAGAGGGTGTACCTTCTATAGCATGGCTGTGTAATACAGAGCGTGTACCTTATATGGCATGGTTGTGTAATACAGACTGTGTACCTTCTATAACATGGCTGTGTAATACAGAGTGTGTACCTTCTATAGCATGGCTGTGTAATACAGAGCGTGTACCTTCTATAGCATGGCTGTGTAATACAGAGGGTGTACCTTCTATCATTTTCGCACCGGGGCCCCATGGTTTGTGTGTACGCCACTGAATGACAGTGTGCTTTAGAATCCACTTTGATTGTTCTCGCGAGTTAGGATTGCCAGATCCATCCACCTTGTTTTATTGGACAGATATAACTTTAACATGGTGACTGACTGCAAATGAAAAGTGCTGCCCTGGAGTAAATTGACTTAATATGGTACAAGAGGAAAATCAATTCATCCCTCTTTTGGCTTCCGTATTAAAAACAAATATTAAGTTTAACTAACCATTTAGCTTGCAGCTAGTTTCGAATCACATGCTGGAGGGTAGTTATTAGAGGTTATTATTACCCAACTAATACTATACATTTTATTGACCTCAGAAGGATGAAAAGCTCAGTCAATCTTGCGGAGAAGTAAACATGTGACGCTGAGGTTGGAACCTCTCCCTGGATATATATTCATTCTTTATTTCCTTACGTACTGGCCATCAGTAGGATGATGTCTTGTGTGGAGGAATACATGACAAATCTGGTGTTTTGGAGTATTCTGCGCACATGAAACAAGGTTCCAGCAGCCAGTTAAGACTGAGTCCATGTGCCACTAAAGCAGGAAACCAAAAAGCAGTCCCTATTCTTAACTTTATATATTCTGTTCTGTTTACTAGAACGTAACGCTTGTTTGGAGAATGATCTGATGGAAAATATAGAGCTGTCACCAAAAAACAAACAAACTCCCCAGTGAGCATACACTGTGCTGTTATAGTGTGTGAAACGTTAAAATATACCATGTAAAGCAGCGCGGGCTCTTTTCATGCCAATAACATTATCACTCTAGACTGAGGACTGCGATTTACCGAGTGCAGTCTTTGATTAATTGTTATAGAAATATTCCTGATAGGTGCTGGGACATAATACAATTATTTTTCTTCCTCTAATGTTCAATAATTGAACCAGGGGCCAGGTACCATCATCCAGCAAATGTCTCCATGCTGGGTAGGTTCAGATCTGAGCCCACAGATGCCAATACGGGTTGGCGTGTCCCTGAAAGGAACGTTAAAGGGAAACCACAAGACCTTTGCAGAGAAGGATTAGGATCACCGAGACGGTAAAGGGACGGTAACGGGAGCCAAACTTGGCCCAGTACATTCAGGGCACCATTGGCAGCCTTACACCTCATGGTTAATCCGCCTGTGCCTACATGCACTGATCATAGTGACTATGTGTAATATCATTAAATATGCTTAAATGCAGCTGTTCAGCGGTTGGCCTCTTTGTACAAATAGCTTAGTTATAGTAATGGATAAAAAAGGATTTTCAGGCTGCTTTTCTCGTGAACACAGCTGCAGGTCTTGGCACACACAGGATTGCGTGTATCATGACACACACAGAGACGAGTGCCTGATGCTATTAAACGTATAAACTCCTGCTATTAAATATATAAAGCTAAATTCCTGCAGTGTAACCCAGAGGGTTGCTGCTAAACTCAATATAAACATTAATAAATAGGGATGGCCCTCTTTATAATTACATATTGAAGCCCTCATACCTAACGTGGGGCATTCATTACAAGGATAATATTTATCTTGGTGTGTCTGATGTCTTGTGGTTCTAAATTACAATAGCATGGCTTGTTTTCTGAGCGTTATTCATCCCAGCAGCATGGTGGAATTAATGCTTCTAGGGAGGAAATATCATACATCTAGGGTTGCCAGGTCCAACAGTTTTCTTCTGGACACATAATTACATCATCACGGTTATAAAAAGATAAGAAATGTACTGCTCTGTAGTATGCAACATATTAATTCTACATGTCACAGGGCAGCACAGCCAGAACTTTACAGGTACAAGTGATACATGTACAGGACGTCATAGGGAATCTGACAACATTATACACACCGGCCGCAGAACCTTGGATCCTTCAACTTAAATATTTTATCTCAGCCACTGTGGCTAAGAAGCCACCTTATAAATGATAAATAAGTTTGTTTGTCTTGGGTCTCCTGACTCAAAGTCTGTCTACAAACTCTTCATTTAAAACTAGTGGGGAAATAATTATGGTAAAGAATTGTTTCTGACCCAGTTGTATGTTACACTAAGAAACATACAATATTTTCTGTGATCCAGTCAGATTCCTATAGATTTGTTACACCATGACACCGTTGCCCCCAGGAATTGTAAAAATCATGTTTAAATGTAGGGAATGTTGGCTACATTAGTCCCAGAGTATAACTACAAACAAGTAGCTTATGTTGAGACCAAACCAGCAAACAGCACTCCATTTAATTATATTTAAAAGATGAATACCAAAGGATACCTATTATGTCCCAAACTACCTATGCTCTTTTGAATAAACTACGGCAGAAAAACCCATTTAAAATAAGTTTGTCTCCCACCTGTCAGTTAAATTGTCGCCATCTTAGACTATGCCGAAGAACTGGCTGACGAGGCAGCACTGAAATTACTATTATTATTAGTGATGTCGCGAACCGTTTGTGAACTTTTCGCAAACGGTTCGCCACGAGCCGTTCGCGGCGAACTCCGGTCAGCTGACACATCCCGGCCAATCTCCAGCAGACCCTCCCTCCCAGACCCTCCCACCTCCTGGACAGCATCCATGTTGAAGCTGCCTTTAAGCATTTAAGGTAGCCTGCTCTCAAGACGCGGCTGAGTGATGCAAAACACATAAGGTTGACATTACAGTTGTAAAATAAACAAAAGGTTCTTTGCGTTCTCTGAAGTAGATTTTCCCCATAATGACGTGGGAATTATATATTTGTATTTATTCGCTGTTTAAGATGTTTCCATCCCATTGCCAATCAATGAACTCAATAGGTACATCCTACTACATCAATAGACTGTAAGGTTCTCCACTTACAGCCACGGTAATTTACTCTAATGTAGCCAACAACACAGACATCATGTTTCTCCAATGGAACAGACAGCACACAACTGTCAACAAGACCAGTGCTTCAAGAATAAACATTTCTCCTCAATTGGAGATCATGGGCAAGAATAATGTTTGAGCAGATGGCAGGAGGCACACATGGAAGAACTCTCAAGGTAAAACAAAGTAACTTGGATGGAAGAAGTAGGCACAGAGAGGAGAGGAAGGCCTGTGTCACCACACCAATATCATACTTACATTAGATTTCTGTTCCTCTTCGATTACCCTGGGCTGCTCCAGAGAGGGTCTCCTGAGCATGGGACTATCTTCAGGTGGTCCATTAGCCAGAACAGGCCTATGCACCACTGCCATTACATTCCCGGTCTATGGACCAGCCCCACGCTTCTTAAACCTGTTATTTCACGGGACTATCAGGAATAAAACAACTGAAAATAAAACAAACAAAAAGCATATATGTAATAACATGTTCAGTACTGATACACCCACAAAGCCTGTCCAGTCAGATAATATGGTACTATCATACAGCATGGGGATAACTTTTCAAACTAATAAATTCTATGTATTACTCATTATATGAGGCTGCGAGAATGAGAGTGCCTTTTCACAGGTGCTTTTTTTTAATCCATTATATAGGAAAGAAACAAATAATAATAGTTTAATAAATAATAATAAACATAAAAAGTATTCATTTTTGAAGCTCTTACATTTGCTGAAAATCCTTAAAAAGAGCACTTTATGGTCAGCAACACAAACATGTTTTCCTGACCCTAATGGGTTAAAACCACAATTTTGCCACCCTGGTTTGCTCATGCCTCCCTAAATATAGTAAAATCATACTTGTATTCAAGTCTGCAGCTGCTTGCTTTGTCACTGTTTCCTTTTGACCTGCCCACTGCCTGCTGACATCATCAGATGTGATAGCCTGATCCAGTCACAATGCTTCCCCATAGGATTGGCTAAGACTGACAAAGAGGCAGATCAGGGGCAGAGCCAGCATGATTCAAACACAGCCCTGGCCAATCAGCATTTCCTCGTAGAGATGAATTGAATCAATGAATCTCTATTAGGAAAGTTCAGTGCCTGCATGCAGAGGGAGGAGACACTGAATGTTTGGATGCATTTTAGGCAGCCATGACCCAGGAAGGATCTCTAACAGCCATCTGAGGAGTGGCCAGTGAAGTTATCACTAGGCTGTAATGTAAACACCGCATTTTCTCTGAAAAGACAGTGTTTACAGCAAAAAGCCTGTAGGGAATGATTCTACTCACCAGAATAATAAGCTGTAGTTGTTCTGGTGACCATAGTGTCCCTTTAAGATTTCAAAGACCAGAAAGTGACTGAAACTGATCAGCCAGTGCACCATGTTTTCAGAGTTGTGTAACTGGGCAATTCTAGAGTTGGAGTTCAATTTTCAATTTATTTTTTTTTACCTGGCCACAATTAACGTTGTTACATATTTATTTATTTAAAAGTCTGAAAATGTTTGCATTTTTTATTTATTTTTATTTTATTTTATATATATATATATAAAGCAAATTACGGCTGAACCTGTCATGGGCTATTTTGGGTGGTAGACCTGACAGCAAATAGCTCCATTCATAAAGAGCAGGAATGAAGGTGTTTGGAGAAGGGCATATAAGCCACAGGGCAGCTTGTGCATCCAGCTTCATTAAATGGGTCTGTAGTGTGTATTTAATGGAAGCCTGTCACCTTAAGCAACATGTGCTCTTTCTAAAGAGCCTGACGTTTAATCTATACATTGTGCTAGCCGTTTTGTAGCAAACATGCGATTAAGTAGGAATTAAAGAAATAATGACCAATAAAACACACCAAAGATTAGGATAATCTCTTAAATATGAGCTAGCTTTAAAAGCAAATCGATTCAGTCACAAAACAGGGACTTACGGTGAACTAACAACCAGCTTTCAAGTGGACTAGATATAGGTTTGTAGAGCAATTTTACTTCCCAGTGATATAATTACTTTATAGAGTGATTGTCCTTGCAGATTTTTACACACCGATCCAGACTTCCTTACACGCAGATACACACTGATCCAGACCCCCTTACACACAGATACACACAGATCCAGACTCCCTTACACACAAATACACACTGATCCAGACACCCTTACACACAAATACACACTGATCCAGACCCCTTACACACAAATACACACTGATCCAGACAACCTTACACACAAATACACACTGATCCAGACTCCCTTACACACAGATACACACCGATCCAGACTCCCTTACACACAAATCCAGACTCCCTTACACACAAATACACACTGATCCAGACTCCCTTACACACAAATACACACTGATCCAGACTCCCTTACACACAGATACACACTGATCCAGACTCCCCTACACACAAATACACACAGATCCAGACTCCCTTACACACAGATACACACTGATCCAGACTCCCTTACACGCAGATTTTTACACACCGATCCAGACTTCCTTACACGCAGATACACACAGATCCAGACTCCCTTACACACAAATACACACTGATCCAGACTCCCTTACACACAAATACACACTGATCCAGACCCCCTTACACACAAATACACACTGATCCAGACTCCCTTACACACAAATACACACTGATCCAGACCCCCTTACACACAAATACACACTGATCCAGACTCCCTTACACACAAATACACACTGATCCAGACTCCCTTACACACAGATCCAGACTCCCTTACACACAAATACACACTGATCCAGACTCCCTTACACACAGATCCACACTCCCTTACACACAAATACACACTGATCCAGACTCCCTTACACACAAATACACACTGATCCAGACTCCCTTACACACAGATACACACTGATCCAGACTCCCCTACACACAAATACACACAGATCCAGACTCCCTTACACACAGATACACACTGATCCAGACTCCCTTACACACAGATCCAGACTCCCTTACACACAAATACACACGGATCCAGACCCCCTTACACACAAATACACACTGATCCAGACTTCCTTACACGCAGATACACACAGATCCAGACTTCCTTACACGCAGATACACACAGATCCAGACCCCCTTACACACAAATACACACTGATCCAGACTCCCTTACACACAGATCCAGACTCCCTTACACACAAATACACACGGATCCAGACCCCCTTACACACAAATACACACTGATCCAGACTTCCTTACACGCAGATACACACAGATCCAGACTTCCTTACACGCAGATACACACAGATCCAGACCCCCTTACACACAAATACACACTGATCCAGACTCCCTTACACACAGATCCAGACTCCCTTACACACAAATACACACGGATCCAGACCCCCTTACACACAAATACACACTGATCCAGACTCCCTTACACACAAATACACACTGATCCAGACTCCCTTACACAAATACACACAGATCCAGTCTCCCTTACACACAGATACACACCGATCCAGACTCCCTTACACGCAGATACAGACCGAGACAGACTCCCTTACACGCAGATACACACAGATACAAACCGATTCAGACTCCCTTACACACAGATACACACCGATCCAGACTCCCTTACATGCAGATCCAGACTCCCTTACACACAGATACAGACCGAGACAGACTCCCTTACACGCCGATACACACAGATACAAACCGATTCAGACTCCCTTACACGCAGACACACACCGATCCAGACATCCTTACACACCGATCCAGACTCCCTTACACACAGATACACACCGATCCAGACTCCCTTATACACAGATTCTTACTTCTTTAAACACAGATACACACCAATCAAGACTCCTTTACACACATATACACACCAATCCAGACTCCCTTACACACAGATAATACTTTGAGGAATGATTTTCCTCAAAGTTACAAATTAGTATCTACTTGTTAGTTTAAGCATGCTTACATACATATACACAAAAACAAGTCCTGCGCTCAAACTCCCACCACTCTTGGACGGCAGCAAAGACCATACTACACATTAGCCCCAATACATATAGTAAAACCCTTAAAAGGGAACACATGGGATGAGTGGCAGCATTGTAACAGCTGTGTAATACAAAAGTAAATACAAATACACAAAAATAGGTCATGCGCTGAAACTTCCACTACTCTTGGGCGGCAGCAACGACCACAGTACACATCAGCCCCAATACATACAGTAAAAACCAAAGAAAAAAGTTACCTGCGCTCTTACCAAATCCATATGCATATTTAAACAAATGGAGGCTATTTAGTTACTCCAAGGGACATGAGAGGGGGTGCCAAGAGTGTGTGTGTGTGCTTGTCAAGAGTCTGTGTGTGCGAGCCTGTCAAAGTGTGTGCGTGCAAGCATGTTGTTAGCGTGAGTATGTATGTGAGCCTGTCAGAGTGTGTGCACCTGTCCGTGTGTGTGCCCCTTCCGATCGTATTTGCTTTTGTCAAGATCACCTTTCTTCCCAATTTCCTACGCCGTGCCTATGGCTGAGATTATCAGTCTTTATGATCTCAGCTAAGCCAATGCTTTTCTTTAGGGAAGCATCGGGAGGACTTTGTGCATGTGCAGCAAATGTTCCAATCCGCATCTCCTCATAGAAATGAATTAAATTAATGAATCTCTATGAGGAACATTCAGCGCCTCCATGCAGAGCATGGACGTGGGTGCTGCACGTGGTGCAGCAGTGACCCAGGACTCACTAGTTGCCATCTGAGTGACTGTCACTAGAGGTGTTACTAAGCAGAAATGTAAACTCTGCCTTTTCGCAGAAAAGGCAGTGTTTACACTGAAAAGTATGCAGGGACAGGCAATAGACACCAGAACAACTACATCAAGCTGTAGTTGTTCTGGTGACTATAGTGTCCCTTTAAGAATTGCCTTTTCGCACTGAAAATGACTGGCTCCTAACTTTTTTAGCTGGCTCCTAGATTCCAAACAAATTTTTCAAGCCCTGCCTTGACGTGAATGATCTACCCAGAAACCACACTACTTATATTTGGCCTTGTATCCCAAGTATCCCCAGTCTTCACATGCAGAAACCAAGAGCACATGCACAGCGTGCATAAAATATCAAGTTACCATTCTGCAGTTGGTCTTTTCTTTAAATGTAACTTGTGGATCCTTGAGTTTACCATTTCGGGCTGAGACTAGAAAGAACATTTAGGGCTGTGTCGCATAAGACTAACCTAGTTTGTTCTCCTACGATGTACAAGCTTTTTTTAAGTCCATCCCATATACCGGGAAAGAATGGTTCTAGTTTCTAGGTACGATACAAAGCCCAGCACGTATGCTAACAGGTCTGAGACAGCATTTAAAGGACCACTATAGGCACCCAGACCACTTCAGCTTAATGAAGTGGTCTGGGTGCCAGGTCCAGCTAAGAAACTGCTATGTTTACAATAGGGTTAATCGAGCCTCTAGTGGCTGTCTCATTGACAGCCACTAGAGGCGCTTCCGCGATTCTCACTGTGATTTCCTATGGACTGGCTCAATGCGGTTGCGGCTCTTGCCGCACATGCGCATTCGTCGGAAGAGGGAGGAGAGTCCCCAGTGCAGAGGGAGCCCGGCGCTGGAGAAAGGTAAGCGTTTAACCCCTTCCTCTCCCTAGAGTCCGGCGGGAGGGCAGCCATGAGGGTGGAGGGGACCTATTAACACTATAGTGCCAGGAAAACATTAAAGGACCACTCTAGGCACCCAGACCACTTCAGCTTAATGAAGTGGTCTGGGTGCCAGGTCCTTCTAGGGTTAACCCATTTTTTCATAAACATAGCAGTTTCAGAGAAACTGCTATGTTTATGAATGGGTTAAGCCTTCCCCCTATTCCCTCTAGTGGCTGTCTCATTGACAGCCACTAGAGGCGCTTGCGTGCTTCTCACTGTGATTTTCACAGTGAGAGCACACCAGCGTCCATAGGAAAGCATTGAGAATGCTTTCCTATGTGACCGCTGAATGCGCCGCAGCTCTTGCCGCCGCTCAGCCGACGATCGGAGGAGGAGAGGAGGAGCCGCCCAGCTGGAAAAGGTAAGTTTTACCCCTTTTCCCCTTTCCAGAGCCGGGCGGGAGGGGGACCCTGAGGGTGGGGGCACCCTCAGGGCACTATAGTGCCAGGAAAACGAGTATGTTTTCCTGGCACTATAGTGGTCCTTTAATTTATCAATACAATACTGACTACAAATATCTGTGAATAATTTGCTACATTTCTGAATGCAAAGCTTAAATTCACCAGGAATAAAGATTTCAGCACAGAACATGTCTATATTGTCAGGGTAAATATAAAGATAAGATTCGCTTCCATTCAATTTTAAGAAATCCAAAGATTGTAGCAGATTTATTTCCGCTTCAATTGACTGCATTCAAATAATCAGAAGAAGGAACAAAATGACAGCAAGCGACGAGTAGTTCGTACAGTAAGGTAACATAGATAAGGTGATTATTAGTAGATCGTATCGTAAGGTAACATGGGTAAGGTGATTATAAGTAGATCATACCGTAAGGTAACATAGATAAGGTGATTATAAGTAGATCATACCGTAAGGTAACATAGATAAGGTGATTATAAGTAGATCGTACAGTAAGGTAACATGGGTAAGGTGATTATAAGTAGATCGTACCATAAGGTAACATAGGTAAGGTGATTATAAGTAGATTGTACCCTAAGGTAACATAGGTAAGGTGATTATAAGTAGATCGTACCGTAAGGTAACATGGGTAGGGTGATTATAAGTAGATCGTACCGTAAGGTAACATGGGTAGGGTGATTATAAGTAGATCGTACCGTAAGGTAACATAGGTAAGGTGATTATAAGTAGATCGTACAGTAAGGTAACATAGGTAAGGTGATTATAAGTAGATCGTACAGTAAGGTAACATAGGTAAGGTGATTATAAGTAGATCGTACCGTAAGGTAACATAGGTAAGGTGATTATAAGTAGATCGTACCGTAAGGTAACATAGGTAAGGTGATTATAAGTAGATCGTACAGTAAGGTAACATAGGTAAGGTGATTATAAGTAGATCGTACAGTAAGGTGACATAGGTAAGGTGATTATAAGTAGATCGTACCGTAAGGTAACATAGGTAAGGTGATTATAAGTAGATCGTACAGTAAGGTGACATAGGTAAGGTGATTATAAGTAGATCGTACAGTAAGGTGACATAGGTAAGGTGATTATAAGTAGGTCGTACAGTAAGGTGACATAGGTAAGGTGATTTCCAGTGAAAGGCTGATTGTATGAACATGTTGGCATGTCCAGAATGAGGACTAATATACTGGGAAAAAGAAACTGAGTTCTTAAAAAGACCCAGAAATACCCAAAGTACCAAGTGGTATGAGATGACATGACAACTTGGACCAAACAAAACATTTGCTTTTGTCAAGATCACCTTTTTCCTCATTGAACGCACTGCAAAGGGGTGACCAAGGGTAAATAGTGTCACATTAAAAATTTGGACAGATGAATTCGTTGAAAAGATACCCTATATGGTCAGTATGTGGTGTAAAACTGTCCCTGCGGGTTGAAATATATAGAGAAGACCACATATTGCCTATAAAATCCCATCAAGCAGAAGGTGGATATCAGGAATAAAATCACATCTACCCCTGAAGCCAGACATTTCAGGCAGTTTCGTTGTTGAATACTTGATCGTATCACCTAACGTTAAAATGCAGAGTTTGGTCTCGCAATGAGATTAATGGATTTATGTAGTAGGAAAAATAACATTGTTCAGGTTAAACAAATGGAAAGAATTGAATATTTTTTTTACCTAAACTATTGCTTCACACCTTATTCCATAGAGTAGGTGAGCTTCCTGATCAGCAGAAAATTTATATTTTTTTTGTCTGACTTTCTTTGAAATATTTCAATAAATTAAATAATTATGCAGATTTTTTTTAGATAACAGACAAATATGTTTTAACAAAGCACACATTTTCCTTAGATGCAGATTCTACATAGTGACAACAGGTTAGAAATTCACGCCGTGCGTTGAAGGTGTGTTTTTAAGGTGCCTATAATAAGGAGGCCCACATTCTGTGTTTGTATCTGTATGGGAATAGACACTGCCAAAAGGCATCACTACGACAAGCTGGTAGGAGTTCCTAGAAGGTTAGATAAAATAGTCATGCTTGCTGGCAGGTTAAATGCTTCACACATTAATAAAGAATAGTGATGTCCCGAACGGTTCGCCGAACGCGAACCGTTCGGGACATCACTAATAAAGAAGGCTGTAACTCCAGAATTGTCTGCACTACGGTAAAAAAACACATTTGGAGCACCAGAATCTCTGAATTATTACAAAGATTGGCAGAGCGCTAACAGGAACACAGAGACAGACTCTGGAAGACAGACTCGGAGATAGAGAAATAAGATAGGAAAAAACAGAGAAAGCATCACAAAGGTCATTAATATGGAAAACGTATGAGACACATACTCAAACCTACACATAGATAAAAAGGAAAAGTATGCAAATAAATATTATATAAAGCATGAAAATATACTGGTATAGAAACCTGTGAGGCATATCCACTAGGAGACACAGATAAAATGGCAAAAGAGACAAAACAAAAAAGACAGAGAAACAATTAATGAAACAGGTAGGTCGCAATAAGAGGAGTAAATTATAAAAGAGAGACAGCTGACAACTGAGAGATATAGAGGAAGACAGCACGGAATTGAAAAAGAACAAATATATATATATACGGTGAAGGAAAAAGTATTTGATCCTCTGCTGATTTTTCATATTTGCCCACTGACAAAGAAACGATCAGTCTATAATTTTAATGGTAGGTGTATTTTAACAGTGAGACACAGAATAACAAAAATAAAAACCAGAAAAACGCATGTCAATAAAGTTAATTGATTTACATGTCAATGAGTGAAATAAGTATTTGATCATTCAGCAAGATTTCTGGCTCCCAGGTGTCTTAGAGGGACTGCTCCTAATCTCACCTCGTTACCTGTATAAAAGACACCTGTCCACAGAAGCAAACAATCAGATTCCAAACTCTCCACCATGGCCAAGACCAAAGAGCTGTCCATGGATGACAGGGACAAGATTGTAGACCTACACATGGTTGGAATGGGCTATAAGACCATCGCCAAGCAGCTTGGTGAGAAATAGACATGTGCAATTCTTTTCGGTCCGAATGTGAATTTGGATGAATTTCAGGAAATTCGGACATTCGGGTTCTTCCGAAATTACCGATTTCTGAAGTTCCGAAGCACAGTATTGCCTAAGTACTAATATACTTACCCAATGGAAGAAGAAGAATGTTACACTGTATACAATTTTAAATAAAAAGTATACAAACTAGGATTCAGCTGTAAGCATTTGCAACACTTACAACAATCAAGTAACACACATTCATATAAAATGTAAGTTACTTAGCCTGTCAATGGAATGACAGGAATGAATAAGTGGATAACTCCCTAATTCCCACGGTATTAGGGAGCTATCTACTAAAATGCTGAAAGACCTAAGTTGGTCTTTCAGCCAAATTTACTAATACTATGTAAAGATTACTTAGTATTAGTAAATTCTGCCCGTACTCGCTATACCGCGAGTAGGGGCATGTCTAGTAAACAGTGAGCAGCTTTGTTATTTAGGGCCCCCATCCACCTCTCAGGGGGGAGGACATTAGGTCCCCCCAATTGGTATTTAGGGTCCCCACCCACCGCTCATTGGTATTTAGTGCCCCACCCACCGCTCAGAGGTGGGGGCCAGGGGGGAGGACAATAGGTCCCCCCCTATTCTAATTTAGGGCCCCCACCCGCCGCTCAGGGATTCCTATCTGGGGTATGGTGTAGTCAGGTACAACTACCGAATATAGGGCTGTTCGTGAACTTCTACCAAACAAGAAGGGAGGTCGGCGGCTTCAGCGGTGTTTGCGCCAAACTGTATCCGTTTTCAGTTCCATGGATTAGGCGTCGAACACCGGTATGCCTTCGCGTGGTTTAAAATGGCCGCGACCTCATGTTCGGCATTCGAATGGCGGCCACCCAACTACTGTATCAATCAAGAGGTGTCTGCGGTTAACCTCAACGTTCGAATGGGGCCAAGAGGTTAATCACCAGCACACTTCTCTACTGGGTGGCCGGCCGTTCGGTAGTTTTGTTCGGTCCTAAAAAGGGAACGCCATAGAGTCCACAGGAAAATATGTCTTTTAACATGGGGCCATAATCCAAAGGCAACAGGCAAGCAACCAGGCTTCTCCAATGCAATGTGGCGAGACTGCTCTCGTCACATTAGTAAATTTGTCTGAAAGACCAATTTAGGTCTTTCAGCCTTTTGGTAGATAACTCCCTAATACCATGGGAATTAGGGAGTTATCTACTAAGTGGCTGCAAGAGAAGTCCCGAAACTATGAAGTGCCGAGTTGCCGAAGTTCTGAAGTGTCGTAGTGCTGAACTGAACCCGTTCCCGAATACCGAACCGAAAAGAACATTTTCCCCATGCACGTGCCTAGTGAGAAAGTGACAACAGTTGGTGCGATTATTCGCACATGGAAGAAACACAAAATAATTGTCAGTCTCCCTTGGTCTGGTGCTCCATGCAAGATCTCACCTAGTGGAGTTACAGAACTACATGGGAGGATCTTGTTAATGATCTCAAGGCAGCTGGGACCATAGTCACCAAGAAAACAATTGGTAACACACTGAAATCCTGCAGCGCCCGCAAGGTCCCCCTGAAGAAAGCACATGTACTGGTCCGTCTGAAGTTTGCCAATGAACATCTGAATGATTCAGAGGAGAACTGGGTGAGTGTTGTGGTCAACTGAGACCAAAATCGAGCTCATTGGCATCAACTCAACTCGACCTGTTTGGAGGAGGAGGAATGCTGCCTATTACCCCAAGAACACCATACAGGTGGAAACATTGTGCTTTAGGGGTGTTATTCTGCTAAGGGGACAAGACAACTGCACCGCATTAAAGGTATGATGGACTGTCAAATCTTGGGTAAGAACCTACTTCCCTCAGCCAGGGCATTGAAAATGGGTTGTGGATGAGTATTCCAGCATGACAATGACCCAAAACATACAGCCAAGGCAACAAAGGAGTGGCTCAAGAAGAAGCACATTAAGGTCCTGGAGTTGTCTAGCCAGTCTCCAGACCTTAATCCCATAGAAAATCTGTGGAGGGAAGTGAAGGTTTGAGTTGCCAAACGTCAGCGTCGAAACCTTAAAGACTTGGAGAGGATCTGCAAAGAGGAGTGGGACAAAATCCCTCCTGAAATGTGTGTGCAAACCTGGTGGCCAACTACAAGAAACATCTGGCCTCTGTGATTGCCAACAAGGGTTTTGCCACCAACGTACTAAGTCAGAGGGGTCAAATACTTATTTTACTCACTGACGTGCAAATCAATTTATAACTTTTTTGACATGTGTTTTTCTGGATTTTCTTTTTTGTTATTCTATCTCTCACTGTTAAAATATACCTACAATTAAAATTATCAACTGATCATTTCTTTGTCAGTGGGCGAACATTCAAAATCAGCAGGGGATCAAATTTTTTTTCCCCCTCATTGGAGAGAGAGAGGGAGAGAGAGAGAGAGAGAGAGAGAGAGAGAGAGAGAAAGACACTGAAAAGAGGTAAAAGACAAAACAGGTAAAAGCTGATAGCATGAAAATAACAAGGAAGAGCTAAGAGACAAACAGACAAACAAAATACAATAATGGGAATAACTTTAAGAGGAAATAGGATAAGGCTTATTGGAAAAAGATGCCGTAAGTAAAACAAGAGAATGGAAAATAGGCTGAAAGGTGAGAAACATTACAAAACAATCTACAAATACAGGTTTGTGAGGCTGACTGGTCCATCAAAATCTGCTTTTCAATACCACAAATATATAATGTGGTAGCAGTGCAATATATGAACTAAATCCAAAAAAACACCAAACCAAGCACTCTGCGACCCATGGTCAATATGAGGCCTCTACATAATCTAATATAGACCGATATGGTGCCATAGGGAGCTTAACAGAACTCAACACCACTCATTTACTGTTCACTGAACTTCTGGCTTTTTCAAGGAATTATGAATTCGAGTGGGATATAAAACGCCTCCTTGCTTAAAACCACAGACCAAAGTGAATCAAAAAGACAAGCAATAAAGAAATCTAATTAATAATTAGCGAATCCATAAAATAAATCACACTAAAGCACAACTACTACAACTAGGTACATGTATGCACTTACCCTAAAATCCCTACGGTCTGAATGCCCGGTCTCGACCCAGTGGGGCCCGAGGCCCTTTCTGCAGTGCTTCATTGAACAGTTGATTTTCTGTCAGTTGACAGAGTGGCTCCATTCTCTCACTCCATCCTTCACACATTTAACATTCCCCATCCTCACACACAGAGCGTAAGAAAATGGCAAACTAACTTCTTCCAAACTTTTATATGAAACTATCGTGAACAATAGATGAAACAAAAACAAACTATATGTCACACCCAGTCACTGACATCTGAATTTAACTGTGAATTTGAGTCATTTAAAATTCATTCTGAAATACGTACTTTGCTATTTACTAAACTGCAAATAATGTGATAGTGCTGAAGTCCTGACATATTACAGTCACAATGTGTTGATGTATTCGATTAAATGATCTTTCATTCTGTGTACAATCCTTACTGTCGGACTTGTTAACTCATGTAAGACAAACTGCACCATCCCCAAGGAGTAAAAATGAGGACAAATTATGTTCAAATCCATCATTACCCAATGGATACACACTGATGTCGATCTTTTTCCAGCATACAAAGGCCTACTGAGACTCCAACCAATCTTACGCCCTACTCGGGTCCACTCAATTCATTTGTGGTGGAGACAACGCCACCTCGATCATGTTCTACTCTAGGTATGTGAAAGGCCCCACCAGGACTCTTTTGGGTGCTAAAATTCCTATAGTGGTAAAATAAAGTATTTTAAAGAAAATCCTAAATCATCCAATTCCCACTGCGGTCCTATGTAAATCTCACCTTTCCTCAACGGATCAATGAATCAATCAATGAATACATTCAGTGCAAACTGGCTGCATATTTAACCCTCTTTAGATGTTCCTCCAGTTCTAACAGGTTTGGCACTCATAGTGGAAGGGTTACGGGAACCCAGGAAAGCACTTGTTAAATGGATAGAGAGTGAGCGAGCTGTGTCTCACTCTGTTAACTAACAAGCCCTGTATTACCATATTACATATGTTACTTGTAGACAAATCTTGAGAGGCAGCTTCCCCTCCCTATAGCACACTGAAACCAAATCATTTTTGGGCTCTAGATGGAAAAAACACCCTATCAAAGCACCAGTGATACTTATATGGACTCCAGCTAAAGGTATTATCGTACAGAACAGACTGCACAAAATCTTGGACACTAACAACAAGAGGCATAAAAGAAATTTAGACAATTAGAATATAGGTACACTCACTAAAATGAGAATCCAAAGTGAATGTCAAATTTAAGGCCACACTAGCCAAACTTCAAGTTAAGCTAACTTTTCCAGTTCGGCTATTGTGCCTTCAATATTACATTCACTTTAAAATATCTTTCATTTCCCACTTTAGTACCATAAACCTGATAGAACTTCATATTGATAAACTACCAACCATATCCCATAGCTCTAACCCATACTATGCATCGGGCTAGGAAACATTTCTTGTGTAACAGACCTTGGAGAAATATAGTTTGTGCCACACAAGTGAAAGGTAGTCACTGTCTATGGGAATGTAGTGTAGACATCTGCGTTAGAAATCTCAGTAATCTCGACATTCTGTTTGACTTACAATGTATCAGGTTTTTTTCTTAGTAGATTTATACAACCTATCTATATACTGGTGATTTGAGGAGAGGATTGCACGTTTTATTCCAGAATAACAACTTGGCCATTTAGATCTACAGTTTGCTGTTTTTATATCAATTCTCCCTAAATTCTTGTGTATAAACACCCAATGTGACCCTGAACAAGCCTGGTACTCCCTTGGTTAGAGGTAAAAGGCAGCAGTAAGACTGCTATGAGAAACAAATCGTTTTCTATGCCGCCTCCCAGAGGTGCCGAAAAACACACACTATGCTGCTTTCCGAAGGAGTGAGTAGCAGGCATCTGATACATCCCTCGAATCCTTAGTTTTGTAGTTTAGCAGTTTAGCTCACTAGCTATATGCTCACCTCAGGTCTTCTATAAGCAAACTACAAAATAAGAGATCTAAATAACAAGAATAAACCAGTTAGTCTCTAATTTGCTACAAAATTTACTTTCTGTAGGGACAAAGAATTGTGTACAGTTCTACAATAAATCCTGTTCCACCTCTGATCTCAGCATGAGTGCTTTGCCTAAACTATGAATAAATACTTTCTCAATATGGATATTTGGGATGTTTAGTTCAACACTTGTCAATAGTTTCACGCGGGTATGAAACATCGCAATAGCTGGATTGCTGGTTTTACAGACCCTTTTACTTGCACGTTTTTCTTATGGAAAGGGCTCAGCTCCCTGGTGGACCTACCTTCACATTTGATAGGCAACTTAATGGTGTCAAGTCTTCTATGGAAGAGAGACAACAACCTCAGACAATTATACAATTACTCGGCCCTTCACAGGCCACATCGGTCACTGCCTGAATTATCATTACAAGCAGGGCCGGACTGGGAAGAAAATTCGGCCCGGGCATTTTTTAATTACAGCGGCCCACTAAAAAGGGGGCGGGGCCAGATGGGGTGTGTTTTGTCATCACCAATGACAAGCACGCCCCATCACAAAGTGAGCATGTTGGTTCAATGCTCTTCCAGGGTAGACCATGCGCAGAGCTCTGCTGAAGAGCTCTGGCATGAGAAAAATACCCTGTATTTGTTCTGCACAAGCCAAGCAAATTTAATAACATGCTTGCACTGTGTTTGCTTGAAATTTGTCTCTGGTGTCTCCATAGTTGGGATACCAGGAGACAAAAATGCCAGGAAAGCATATTGCGCAGTGTGTGTGAGGGTGCTCTGTGTGTGTGTGTAAGGGGTGTAGTGTGTGTGAGAGAGGGGTGCAGTGTGAGTTATGGGTGCTGCGTTTGCGTGAGGGTGCTATGTGGGTAAGGGTGCTGTGTGTGTGATGGGTGCAGTGTGTGTGTGTGCTGTGTGTGAGTGGGTGCTGTGTTTGCATGAGGGCGCTATGTGAATGTGAGGAAGCCATGTGTGAGGGTGCAGTGTATGCATGTGAGGAAGCTGTGAGTGTCAGGGGTGCAGTGTGTGTAAGTGAGGGTGTGTGATATGCATGTCAGGGGTGTAGTGTGTGTGTGAGGGGGCTGTGAGTGTCAGGGGTGCAGTGTGTGTGAGGGTGCTGTGAGTGTCAGGGGTGCAGTGTGTGTGCTATTGAGTGCTGTGAGTGTCAGAGTGCAGTGTGTGAGGAGGGTGCTGTGTGTGTGTGTGAGTGTCAGGGGTGCAGTGTGAGGGTGCTGTGTGTGTGTGTGTGTTTGTGTGAGGGTGCTGTGAGTGTCAGGGGTGCAGTGTGTGTAAGTGAGGGTGTGTGATATGCATGTCAGGGGTGTAGTGTGTGTGTGAGGGTGCTGTGAGTGTCAGGGGTGCAGTGTGTGTGCTGCATGCGTGTCAGGGTGTGTGTGTGTGTGTGTGAGGTGCTGTGAGTGTTAGGGGTGCATTTTGTGGCTGTGCTGAGTGTCAGGCGTGTAGTGTGTGAGTGAGGGTGCTGTGAGGTGTCAGGGGTGCAGTGTGTGTGTGAGAGTGCTGTGAGTGTCAAGGGGTGCAGTGTGTGTGCTGTGAGTGTCAGGTGCAGTGTGTGTGAGTGTGCTGTAGGTGTCAGGGGTGCAGTGTGTGTGTGTGAGGTGCTGTGTGAGTGTCAGGGGTGCAGGTGTGTGTGAGTGTGTGCTGTGGGTGTCAGGGGTGCAGTGTGTGTGTGTGAGTGTCAGGGGTGCAGTGTCAGGGTGCAGTGTGTGTGCTGTGAGGGTCAGACGTGCAGTGTGTGTGTGAGGGTGCTGTGAGTGTCAGGGGTGCAGTGTGTGTGTGTGTGCTGTTAGTGTCAGGGGTGCAGTGTGTGTGTGTGAGTGTCAGGGGTGCAGTGTGTGTGTGTGAATAAGGGTGCTGGGAGTGTTATGTGCCCTGCTGTGCCCTGATTATATCCCCCCTCCCTGCTTACCTTATGCCTGGGAGGGGGGATCCTGCTACTCCTGCCGCCATCCATCCCTGGTGGTCCAAGTGGTGAGTGAACTCTAGCCTGTTGGGCTAGAGTTCACTCTCGCGAGACCCGGAGCGTTGCCATGGCAACGCTCCGAATCCCGCGAGAGGAACCCGGCGGAGCTGTAAGTTAAAGCTCCGCCGGGGTTCCTCTGCTGGCCGGCTGCCTCCCTCCCTCTCTCCCCCGGCGGCCGCAGTATTCTCTATGTGGGCCGGTGAGGGAGATCTCTGATCTCCCCACCGGCCCGCTGTAGACTACTGCAGGGCCGGCTTTCAGATAGTGCCGGCCCTGCAAAGACCGGCAGGAGAGATCCTGTGATCTCCCTGACGGCCTCGGCCGCACGGCCACCGCGGCCCACCGGGCATTTGCCCGGTGTGCCCGATGGCCAGTCCGGGCCTGATTACAAGATCCTAACAATATGTTTATTTACTTTACAATTCCTCCAGAGAGACCTTATCTTAGGTGCTTTAACCCCTTAAGGACCAAACTTCTGGAATAAAAGGGAATCATGACATGTCACACATGTCATATGTCACACATGTCATGTGTCCTTAAGGGGTTAAACCGATTAGAGATCATCAATCGATAAGGAAATTAAAGGACACTCTAAGCACCTGTAGTAGTTAAGATTTAAATTAAAAGAGCTCCTTTAACAACAAAATAAAAGAATCTGGTGGAATCGGGCTAGATAAAATTTGGGGACAACTGGTGGACGGACCAGTAGAAGATGGATACATGAATGGGGAGCAGGGAATAAATGAAGATATAAAGGTAGGTAGTCATAAGGTCATACAAGTCTTTCTGAACAAGAAGGTCAAGAGGGGGTCAACTGGGGTCAAGTAAGGTATTTGTGAAAATGAGAGTTTGGGGAACTTGCTAAAAGTACTGAGGAAAGTTGCTGATTAGATGTGACAAGAAAGTATGACCCAATTTTGGGAGAGGGACAAGGGGAACCAGGAAGTGGCAAAGGCAGAGGTGAAGGTTTTCGGATGTAAGACAGCAGAGCAGATGGTATCATGTTTCTATTTGAAGGATTCCTCCAGACACAATGAACACTTCAGTGATTTGAAATGGACATGGTGTTTGGACTCTGTATCTGCAACATTTCGTTAACCCATCTCATTAGCAAGCTCAGAATGCCCTCCTTTGATGTCGACCTCCGGTGCGGGGGAGTGACATCAACCAATATGGATCGGGTTTAGGGAAGAACTTGACCTTGGCCATGGAAAAGTACGTATGAATGTTTAAGCCTCTTTACCTTGAAGGTGGGGAGCGGACCACCACAGAAAGCGTAACTCTAACTAAAACCAGGTTTTTTTTTAAAACTAAACACAGCAAACAGGGCTCATTATCAATAATAAATTTAAATTGTATTTAGCTCTGCCATTAGAGAACAATATAATGGAACTAAAGAGAATACCTAATTAAAGCACTGAATGTGATATCCAAATCACAGCGAATTATGCTGTAATATGACAAACAATTCAAATGAATTCTGCAGAGGAGTATCATCCAACAGGAAATCCTGATTTATTATTGAAGCTTTATTATATTACCATATGAGAATGCTATGATACTATGAACTGAGCATTAATTTGTTTAAAAACCTAGAAATGCCTGTGGCTGCACTCACGAATAATAGGTGCTAGAATGATGTGTCAACAGGGACAACAGGGACAACACCTAGAATGAGAAGCAGGTTTTTCTGGACAGGCAACCCATGAGGAAATGTGATGTGCTTTTACCAGGATCTATACTTCACGGTTTAGAAACAAAAGTTTCAAACAAACATTAAGGCAGGTCCAGTAAAGTGACACTCCAGGCAGGTGTCCTATAGCATGGGCGTAAAACTATCTCTGACCATCACAACACGATGCTGTCACTGTTACATGAAGGGTTAAACGGGGACAGTAGTGCAAGCATCGATTAACTAATTGCCCTAGTTCCAAATCCAATCATTGTCTACGAACTCCCATTTACTAGCCCTAAGCAAGTATAACAGCGATGGAATAAAAATTGCAAATATGCTATTCTGACACTCGTCATTACACCATCGTAAAATGCCATCACAACATACACATGGAATGCCATCACAACATACACATGGAATGCCATCACAACATACACATGGAATACCATCACAACATACACATGGAATACCATCACAGCATACACATGGAATACCATCACAACACACATGGAATGCCGTCACAACATACACATGGAATGCCATCACAGCAGCACATGGAATGCCATCACAACATACACATGGAATACCATCACAACATACACATGGAATGCCGTCACAACATACACATGGAATGCCATCACAACATACACATGGAATGCCATCACAGCATACACATGGAATGCCAACACAGCATACACATGGAATACCATCACAACATACACATGGAATACCATCACAGCATACACATGGAATACCATCACAACATACACATGGAATGCCATCACAGCATACACATGGAATGCCATCACAACATACACATGGAATGCCATCACAACATACACATGGAATGCCATCACAGCATACACATGGAATGCCAACACAGCATACACATGGAATGCCAACACAGCATACACATGGAATGCCAACACAGCATACACATGGAATGCCATCACAACATACACATGGAATGCCATCACAACATACACATGGAATGCCATCACAGCATACACATGGAATGCCAACACAGCATACACATGGAATGCCAACACAGCATACACATGGAATGCCAACACAGCATACACATGGAATGCCATCACAACATACACATGGAATGCCATCACAACAAACACATGGAATACCATCACAACAAACACATGGAATGCCATCACAACATACACATGGAATGCCATCACAACATACACAAGGAATGCCGTCACAACATACACATGGAAGGCCATCACAGCATACACATGGAATGCCATCACAACATACACATGGAATGCCATCACAGCATACACATGGAATGCCATCACAACATACACATGGAATGCCGTCACAACATACACATGGAATGCCATCACAGCATACACATGGAATGCCGTCACACCATACACATGGAATGCCATCACAACATACACATGGAATGCCATCACAGCATACACATGGAATGCCAACACAGCATACACATGGAATACCATCACAACATACACATGGAATACCATCACAGCATACACATGGAATACCATCACAACATACACATGGAATGCCATCACAGCATACACATGGAATGCCATCACAACATACACATGGAATGCCATCACAACATACACATGGAATGCCATCACAACATACACATGGAATGCCATCACAACATACACATGGAATGCCATCACAGCATACACATGGAATACCATCACAACATACACATGGAATGCCATCACAACATACACATGGAATGCCATCACAGCAGCACATGGAATGCCATCACAACATACACATGGAATGCCATCACAGCAGCACATGGAATGCCATCACAACATACACATGGAATGCCATCACAGCAGCACATGGAATACCATCACAACATACACATGGAATGCCATCACAGCAGCACATGGAATGCCATCACAACATACACATGGAATGCCATCACAACATACACATGGAATACCATCACAGCAGCACATGGAATACCATCACAACATACACATGGAATGCCATCACAGCAGCACACGGAATACCATCACAACATACACATGGAATGCCATCACAGCATACACGTGATGACTTCCTGTGGAGATAATGCTAAAACTAATTGTCATAATGACATAAAGGAGTAAAACAACGACATAAACAAGTTTGTATCCATGTTTTTATATAATTCTTTATTTATGGAGTGCAGTGTTTCATAGAACAATGGTTCATAACTGGGTATTTAGTTTGTTTGCAAGATGCATGTAGGTATGCTTAGACAAAAAAACAAAATAATTGTGAAAGAAAACCAGCAGTAAACATGCTTGAGTCAGTAGATGAATGGTCATTAATAGCTATATTTTCGAACTGCGGATAACCAGGATTATGAGATAAAGTATACACCTGCTAAGTGAAATGCCATCATATAGAACATTGGGTTCAGAGCAATGAGATAAGTATCAGGCTAGTGTTGCCTATAAAGGCAAGTATAGCGATTGTGTAGTAAGTAAGCAGGCTATAATGCTTATCAGATAAAACCAGTGAAGCCCCTCAAGAATACAAACATATTACATATATCAGCTGCCTCAGAATGTAATAAAATAATAATAAAACTAAACGTAAAAAATAAAACAAGGAATATAATTCAGCATGTGCACAAAGTAAGACACTTGGGTCCCATACGTTTATGTAGGGCACGTGTTAGAAATAGAGCATCCCCCAGGACTGTAGACTGGCGCCCTGAAAAGTGCTCTCATGATGTAGTTAGCCTACCCCCTGCATAGGGAATGCATAGTCCCGCATGGCACACTGAGGCCTATATTACTCCTGACCCTGGTCAAGCTGGCCTTGTGACTGCTTCCAACACCGTAACTCAGTTTGAGTCGATCCAATAGGGTAAGTCCCAGGTTGAGATGGTGTGCTGCGTGTGATGGTGATGTGACGGCTTGCATGTTTCGGCCTACAATCGGACCAGCTCCGGGGCTTCCGGCCAAACCGAGAGGTCAGTCGCACCCGGTATCGATTGACCCAGAGTTTTTTCTGGCCAGGGATAAGTCAGGAGGCCCGGAGGTATTGCGGTACCTGCGACACCTGCCAGAGGGTAGGAAAAAGGGGAGACCGCAGGAAAGCCAAAATTCATCCCCTACCCATAGTGGAGGAGCCATTTAGCCGAATAGTGGTGGACATAGTAGGTCCCTTAAAGAAGGCTAGCGCCTCGGCAAGAAATACATATTAACAGTAGTAGACTATGCAACCAGGTATCGCGAGGTGGCAGCACTAATTAACATTCAGGGGGGCGACGCATGATCCATGTGAACATGCTGAAGCCCTACCGGGAGCGCTCCGACGAGGTGACAGCCATTTGTGCACCCCCCTCTGAAGAGTTTGACAACCTTCCCCTTCCAGACCTGCTAGAAGACGGGAAATCGGGTAGCGACATAGCCGAGGTTAAGCTGGGGGAGCGGCTGAGTCCACAGGAGCGAAGTGAGGTACAACAGTTGGTGAGGGAAAAACAAGAATCCTTCTCTAATGTGCCAGGTTACATGCCCCTGGCGACTCACCATGTAGAAACCCCAGGTCAGTTACCTATGCCCCAAACCCCATACTGCATACCAGAGGCGGTGCGGGAACACATGCACCAGGAGATTAATGAGATGCTCCAACTGGGGGTCACTGAGCCTTCTGACAACCCCTGGGCTTCCCCAGTAGTCCTTGTACCTAAACGGGATGGTACCACCAGTTTCTGCGTGGACTACCGGAGATTAAATGAGAAAACTGTATCTGACGCCTATCCTATGCCCAGGATAGACGAATTGCTGGACCAGATGGGCAGGGGCCAATACCTCACTACAATTGATCTTTGTAAGGGGTATTGGCAGATTCCCTTAGCCCCAGACACTATCCCTAAGTCGGCGTACGTCACACCATTCGGCTTGTACCAATTTAAGGTAATGCCTTTTGGGATGAAGAACGCCCCGGCCACATTCCAGTGGATGGTGGACCGACTCTTAGATGGGTTCCAGGACTATACCTGTGCATATCTCAATGATATTGCCATCTTCAGCAATACCTGGTAGGAGCACCTAACCCATATAGGAGCAGTTATAGACAGGATCAGGGAGGCAGGGTTAACTTTAAAGCCAGCCAAGTGCAGTATTGGGATGGCTGAGGTTCAGTACCTCGGCCACCGAGTAGGTTGCGGATTGCAGAAGCCAGAACCCGCAAAGGTAGAGGCCGTAGCTCAGTGGCCAACTCCTAGAAACAAAACTCAGGTGTTAGCCTTTTTAGGGACGGTAGGGTATTATAGGAAATTTGTGCCCAATTATAGCGCCCTGGCCAAACCCCTTACCGACCTTACCCATAAGAACCTTCCCCATCAGGTCACCTGGACCCCAGAGTGTGAGCAGACATTCCAACAGCTGAAGAACGCACTTGTAAATGCTCCCGTCTTGGCAGCCCTGATCCAACTAAACGCTTTCTTGTCTACACAGACGTTTCTATGTTTGGACTGGGGGCAGTACTGAGCCAAGTCGGGGCCGATGGCGGAGAACATCCCGTGGCTTACATCAGTAGAAAATTGTTACCGAGAGAAGTAAGCTACGCCGCCATCGAAAAAGAATGCCTGGCTGTGGTGTGGGCCCTGAAGAAACTACAACCGTACTTGTCGTCGCGTGTCTGGAACTAAAAACGGACACTCGACTAGCCAATCCCCGCTAAGACCTCCAGGGCTTCGCAAAACACAGATAGAAACACACGAACGGCTCGTCGTTCGGTAGGATGAATCCCACGAACAAGGGGATTCATCCGGTTACCGACTCAACTATGGATGGTATAGCCTTTCGGGACTTTTGGGGCTGTTAGTCTCAGTGCTAACCTGGATAGGTGTAAGTCTCAATCCTAACCTGGATAGGTGTCAGTTACAGTCCTAACCTGGATAGGCGTCAGTCTCAATCCTAACTTGGATAGGCGTCAGTCTCAGTGCTAACGTAGATAGATGTCAGTCACAGTGCTAATCTGGATAGGTGTCAGTCTCAGTCCTAACCTGGATAGGTGTCAGTCTCAATCCTTACCTGGATAGGTGTCAGTCACAGTCCTAACCTGGATAGCTGTCAGTCTTAGTGCTAACCTGGAAAGATCTCAGTCACAGTCCTAATCTGGATAGGTGTCAGTCACAGTCCTAACCTGGATAGATGTCAGTCACAGTCCTAACCTGGATAGGTGTCAATCTCAGTGCTAACCTGGACAGATGTCAGTCTCAATCCTAACCTGGATAGGTGTCAGTCTCAGTGCTAACCTGGATAGGTGTCAGTCTCAATCCTAACCTGGATAGATGTCAGTCACAGTCCTAACCTGGATAGGTGTCAGTCTCTGTGCTAACCTGGATAGATGTCAGTCTCAGTGCTAACCTGGATAGATGTCAGTCACAGTCCTAACCTGGATAGGTGTCAGTCTCAGTCCTAACATGGATAGGTGTCACTCACAATCCTAACCTATATAGATGTCAGTCACAGTGCTAATCTGGATAGGTGTCAGTCACAGTCCTAACCTGGATAGATGTCAGTAAAAGTCCTAACCTGGATAGGTATCAGTCCTAACCTGGATAGATGACAGTCACAGTCCTAACCTGGATAGATGTCAGTCTCAATCCTAACCTGGATAGGTGTCAGTCACAGTCCTAACCTGGATAGGTGTCAGTCTCAATGCTAACCTGGACAGATGTCAGTCACAGTGCTAATCTGGATAGGTGTCAGTCACAGTCCTAACCTGGATAGATGTAAGTAAAAGTCCTAACCTGGATAGGTATCAATCCTAACCTGGATAGGTGTCAGTCTCAGTGCTGACCTGGACAGATGTCAGTCTCAATCCTAACCTGGACAGATGTCAGTTACAGTCCTAACCTGGATAGGTGTTAGTCTCAATCCTAACCTGGATAGGTGTCAGTCTCAGTGCTAACCTAGATAGGTTTCAGTCTCAATCCTAACATGGATAGATGTCAGTCACAGTCCAAACCTGGATAGGTGTCACTCACAATCCTAACCTGGATAGATGTCAGTCACAGTGCTAACTTGGATAGGTGTCAGACTCAATCCTAACCTGGAGAGGTGTCAGTTTCAATGCTAACCTTGACAGATGTCAGTCTCAGTGCTAATCTGGATAGATGTCAGTCTCAGTCCTAACCTGGATAGGTGTCAGTCTCAATCCTAACCTGGACAGATGTCAGTCTCAGTGCTAATCTGGATATGAGTCAGTCTCAGTCCTAACCTGGATAGATGTCAGTCTCAGTGCTAATCTGGACAGATGTCAGTCTCAAACCTAACCTGGACAGTTTTCAGTCTCAGTCCCAGTCTCAGTGATAACCTAAATATAATTCGTACTCTCAGTTCTAACCTGGGATAATTCTCAGTCTCTGCGCAATACTGGGATAATTCTCAGAGTCAGCAAAATCCTGGGATAATTCACACTCAGTACAATCCTGGGAGAATTCTAAGTCTCAGTTCTAACCTGGGATATTTCTCAGTCTCAGTACAATACTGGGATAATTCTCAGAATCAGCAAAATCCTGGGATAATTCACAGTCAGTACAATCCTGGGAGAATTCTAAGTCTCAGTTCTAACCTGGGATATTTCTCAGTCTCAGTACAATACTGGGATAATTCTCAGTACAATACTGGGGTTATTCTCAGTCTTAGTACAATACTGGGATAATTCTCACTCTCAGTCCTAACCAGGGATTATTTCCAGTCTGAGTCCTTACCTGGGCTAATTCTCACTCTCATTCCTAACCTGGGATATTTCTCAGTCTCAGTACAATACTGGGATAATTCTCAGTACAATTATGGGATAATTCTCAGTCTTAGTACAATACTGGGGTTATTCTCAGTTTCAGTACAATACTGGCATAATTCTCAGTACAATACTGGGATATTTCTCAGTCTCAGTACAATACTGAGATAATTCTCAGTACAATACTGGGATAATTCTCACTCTCAGTACAATACTGGGATAATATTCTCAGTCTCAGTACAATACTGGGATAATTCTCAGTCTCAGTCCTAACCTGTGATAATTCTCACTCTCAATCCTAACCTGGGATTATTTCCAGTCTCAGTCCTTACCTGGGCTAATTCTCACTCTCATTCCTAACCTGGGATATTTCTCAGTCTCAGTACAATTATGGGATAATTCTCAGTCTTAGTACAATAATGGGGTTATTCTCAGTCTTAGTACAATACTTGGGTTATTCTCAGTCTTAGTACAATACTGGGATAATTCTCATTCTCAGTCCTAACCTGGGATAATTCTCAGTCTTAGTACAATACTGGGGTTATTCTCAGTCTTAGTACAATACTGGGATAATTCTCATTCTCAGTCCTAACCTGGGATAATTCTCACTCTCAGTCCTAACCTGGGATATTTCTCAGTTTCAGTACAATACTGGCATAATTCTCAGTACAATACTGGGATATTTCTCAGTCTCAGTACAATACTGGGATAATATTCTCAGTCTCAGTACAATACTGGGATAATTCTCAGTCTCAGTCCTAACCTGTGATAATTCTCACTCTCAGTCCTAACCTGGGATTATTTCCAGTCTCAGTCCTTACCTGGGCTAATTCTCACTCTTATTCCTAACCTGGGATATTTCTCAGTCTCAGTACAATACTGGGATAATTCTCAGTACAATTCTCACTCTCAGTCCTAACCTGGGATTATTTCCAGTCTCAGTCCTTACCTGGGCTAATTCTCACTCTCATTCCTAACCTGGGATATTTCTCAGTCTCAGTACAATACTGGGATAATTCTCAGTACAATTATGGGATAATTCTCAGTCTTAGTACAATACTGGGGTTATTCTCAGTCTTAGTACAATACTGGGATAATTCTCATTCTCAGTCCTAACCTGGGATAATTCTCACTCTCAGTCCTAACCTGGGATATTTCTCAGTTTCAGTACAATACTGGCATAATTATCAGTACAATACTGGGATATTTCTCAGTCTCAGTACAATACTGAGATAATTCTCAGTACAATTCTGGGATAATTCTCAGTACAATACCGGGATAATTCTCAGTCTTAGTGCAATTCTTGGATAATTCTCAGTACAATTCTGGGATAATTCTCAGTCTCAGTACAATTCTGGGATAATTCTCAGTCTCAGTACAATACTGGGGTAATTCTCAGTCTCAGTACAATACTGGGATAATTCTCACTCTCAGTCCTAACCTGAGATAATTCTTACTCTCATTCCTAACCTGGGATATTTCTCAGTCCCAGTACAATCCTGGAAAAGGTCACTGTAAATAACACCATGTCTACCTGCTTAGATGTGACAAACCCTTCCAGCTGTACACAAGACTCTTGTGTGACTCTAAATGTTGTCTATAAAGGGTAGTGGGCACAGGGCATCTTACCTGTACTGGCAGAAGGTTTCCAGGCAATGCGGGAGTCAGATGAGAGACATTGATGGATCAGTAAACACAAAAGCGGTGACACCATAGACAGACGTTCGCTCTAACCCGTCTTACCTGACAGCTCACTGCTTGAGAAGGAGAACAGCTCACCTGGAACAAACCACTGGGAAACAGAGGAGGGGCGGTGCACAACACTCACTTATAAAACATGTCAACAACTTCACTATAAGTATGAAATAGAAATAAAACTCATATAATCCACTTACTCTGCTAAATGAGTCTATTTGTAAAACTCTATATCAGCGAAGCATGATAAATAAGAGAGCTTCCATTTTCTGTTCCCCCTCCTACTCTCATGTTTCTAGGTCAATGACTGGAATTGTTTCCTCTTTTAGGAGTTAAAGTTCCTGTATAAACATGTCTTTTTCCCTCCTGAAAGCAGTAAATCATCAAACACAGTGACAAGCTTTGCCTTATGAAAAGATTGTACCATTAAAGCTATAATAATCAAATGTCTGTTTAAAACACGTCCCCTATAAAACATGCTATATTTTTAAAGCCGCACTATCACTTGTGGATATTGAGCCCTGGCAGGGGAATCCACCAAGCACTGCTTCATCTTTGCAATCTTACACATGCGCGACGCAAATATACAAAATGGCATCTAAGGAAGGTAGCGTGAGACATCCACGGATTATAAGGCATCTACTGCATGCAATACGAGAGAATGCCTGTTCACGTTGGACAGTGTACACGACGGTTGATGGGAAACGGTAAGGAACAGCGAACACAAGCTGGTTAAAGCTGAACTGTCAGTCCTGAGACTTTAGCACAAACTGATAGCTAACTAAAAACCAGCTAGGTGTTGTGCTATTAAAAATGATAATAATAATAAATCTGCACCAGGTTTATAATTTAATTTACATTGCATGCTAGACTAACGTGGCACTGCCAGAACATAAGAGAAAAAGAATTTCACCAGCATGATGCCGAGAGCATGTGTGTGTGAATGCAGTGTGGAAGGAATGTACGGTTTTAATACATACTGGAGTGTGCTTCTTTGATGATGTCATCACACTGGGCACAGAACGACCCCAGTAAGTGCCTTATTAAGGTTTACTGGACTCCGAGAATGAGGAACTTTAGAAAAGTGACCGTTTGCTCATAAATCATTCTGTAGATAATACAGAGCAGTTTATATTAATATCCTTGAAATGCGCTCATTCAGTGAAATCCCAATGAAATAAATATGAGTTGTTCAGATTCATGGTTTATAAATGTTTATGTTAATTCAGCTGTAAATATACCGTCTTATTCACTAAACTCGTAATTAGCTACGGCATGTTCAGAGAAGATTGCCGGAGGTATTTCGGTGCACGTCAGAAGAAACACGTCTGAAGCAGTTTGCTAAATGTACTATCTTCTAACATTTCCAAATCCACCTCTCTCTTGATCCAGATAAACTCTAGTTAGCAAACTAAATTATCCCTTCACCCGCTAATAACAGGAGACACTTAAAGACAAAGTTCTTTGTTTTCCCTAATGTGTAAGAATTATTAAAACAAAACCCCAGGTTTACCCTCACTCCTCATACACCCTGTTCCAAATTATTATGCAAATTCTATTTAAGTGTCACAAAGATTAAATATTTTGTTTTTCAGTTTAACTCATGGATGGCATTGTGTCTCAGGGCTCTTTTGATCACTGAAAACAATCTCGGACACCTGTGATAATTAGATTGCCAGGTGAGCCCAATTTAAGGAAAAACTACTAAAGGAATGTGTTCCACATTATTAAGCATAGCCACATTTTCATGCAATTTGGGGAAGAAAAAGGATCTCTCTGCTGCCAAAAAGAGTGAAATAGTTCAATGCCTTGGACGAGGTATGAAAACAGTAGATATTTCATGAAAACTTAAGCGTGATCATCGCACTATTAAGAGATTTGTGGCTGATTCAGAGCACAGACAGGTTCGTGCAGATAAAGGCACATTGAGGAAGATTTCTGCCAGATCCATGCATCGGATCAAGAGAGCAGCTGCTAAAATACCATTATATAGCAGTAAACAGATATTTGAAGCTGCTGGTGCCTCTGAAGTCCCACGGACATCATGGTGTAGAGTCCTCCAGAGTCTAGCAGCTGTGCATAAACCTTCTATTCGGCCACCACTAACCAATGCTCACAAGCAGAAACGGCTGCATTGGGCAGAAAAATACATGAAGACTAATTTTCAAACAGTACCGTTCATTGATGAGTGCCATGCAACCCTGGATGGTCCAGATGGATGGAGTAATGGATGGTTGGTGGACGGCCACCCTGTTCCAACAAGGCTGCGATGTCAGCAATTTGGAACAGGGTGTACAGGAAACCTTAAACGTGCAATCACGTTTTAAAATGCACCTATTTTTTAATTAGACGTATTCTTTAATCTGCTGAGATTATTGACCTCTTGTACTTTTTGAAAAGACAATTAAACTTATCTGTAACATAGTCCACACTGAATTCTGATCCACCCCTGATGAAGTCCTCAATTCTTATCTCTTGCGTCCAATCAGACAGTTCTTATACAGAAGCACTGAGGACACGAGGCGCATGCTCACAATCACTTTTTCGTCTTTTTAAACAGTGCCGCTATGTTTAAAAAAACAGGTGCCAGGGTTTCCCAGGAAAAGTATTTGTTAGTCTTATTTTGTGATTGTCACCAATAGTAAAATTATCAGGAAAATATCAGAAATAGGAATAAAATGTGCCAGAAAGCAGGATTATTTGGGTGCATTACAGAAAAAGCGTTTCCATCTGATTTATTGTTTTATTTCTTACCTCGCACTCACGTTATCACTTTATTCTCTTTATTTGTTTGGAGAATGATTTACCTATTTACTTTCTGTGTGTTTTGTCCGTTTCGTAGGAAATTATTGTCAGGGCACCCCCAAAAATAACAAAATTTTATTTCATTAAATGTTTGGTATCAATATTTGGGGTCACCCTGGGTGCATTTTCCAGATGAAACTAATTGGGGGATAAGAGAGAATACACAATGTTTGTTTGTTGGGGTTTTTTTTTTGCTAACCATCAAACAGAAGGGAAATAGAAACATAGAATGTAACGGCAGATAAGAACCATTCGGCCCATCTAGTCTGCCCAATTTTCTAAATACTTTCATTAGTCCCTAGACTTATCTTATAGTTAGGATAGCCTTATGCCTATCCCACGCATGCTTAAACTCCTTTACTGTGTTAACCTCTACCACTTCAGCTGGAAGGCTATTCCATGCATCCACTACCCTCTCAATAAAGTAATACTTCCTGATATTATTTTTAAACCTTTGTCCCTCTAATTTAAGACTATGTCCTCTTGTTGTGGTAGTTTTTCTTCTTTTAAATATAGTCTCCTCCTTTTACTGTGTTGATTCCCTTTATGTATTTAAATGTTTCTATCATATCCCCCCTGTCTCGTCTTTCCTCCAAGCTATACATGTTAAGATCCTTTAACCTTTCCTGGTAAGTTTTATCCCGCAATCCATGAACCAGTTTAGTAGCCCTTCTCTGAACCCTCTCTAAGGTATCAATATCCTTCTGAAGATACGGTCTCCAGTACTGTGTACAATACTCCAAGTGAGGTCTCACCAGTGTTCTGTACAATGGCATGAGCACTTCCCTCTTTCTACTGCTAATACCTCTCCCTATACAACCAAGCATTCTGCTAGCATTTCCTGCTGCTCTATTACATTGTCTGCCTACCTTTAAAGCGGCACTGTCATGCCGAACTTACCTTTCCCCAATCTCTTCTCCCCCTCTCTCAGGATCTGTTCTTCTTTTCTTCCTGTCTTCTTTAGTTTTCTTTAAAATCATAAGACAAAGTAGGGACTCTTTGCCTTATGGAGGATTCCTCCACTTGACCAGCTCTGACCAGCTCTGACCAGCAGAGGAGCAAAGTGTGCTTCATTTCCGCTGGTCAGAGCAATTTTCCCATGATTCTCACCTTCCCTCTGTGTTCCCTGTCATTTTACACAAAACTGCCGAATTGCGTTCTAACTGAATGAGAACAGTATGTTCGTTTGTTTTAGAACGCAATTCGGCATTTTATTAGGATCGCAATTTCATTTGAATGAATGAAACTCCGATCCTATTCTTGCTGTGGCTGCACCTTGCAGCCGCTTAGTAGATAACTCCCTAATTCCCACGGTATCAGGGAGCTATCTACTAAAAGGCTGAAAGACCTAAATTGGTCTTTCGGCCACATTTACTAATACTAAGTAAAAATTACTTAGTATTAGTAAATAATATGCCCCTACTCGCTATACCGCGAGTAGGGGCATGTCTGGTACACAGTGAGCAGCCTGTGGATGCTCACTGTAAAACAAAAACAAAAAAACACTATTGGCCCCCACCCCTAAACGACGGGTGGGGGCCCTAAAGTAAAATAAGGGGGGAGACCTAAAGTCCCCCTCCCGGCCCCCACCCCTGCGCGGTGAGTGGGGGTCATATTGAAAATGGGGGGGACCTACTGACCTCCCCCCCCGGCCCCCACCCCTGGGCGGCGGGTGGGGGTCATAAAGATAATGAGGGGGGGAACCTGCTGTCCCTAAGTAAATTACCCCCCCCCCCACAAGGTGAATAGGGGTCCCCAAGCCATCCAATCACAGTGCTATGTGTCATTTTACACAGTGGCAAAATTCTTTTGAATTTTCCCACGCTGTGTAAAATGACAAAGAGCACTCTGATTGGCTTAAACCCACCAATCAGAGTGTTCTTTGCCCTGCGGAGCTCAGTCTGCGCGGAGCCTTCCATGGGTGAAGATGGATTATTTTTTTGCGCTCGGGTTTTTTCTTTTTCGTCAGGTTTTTTTTTTGCGCTCGGGATTTTTATTTTTTGTTAAGTTCAACGGTTATGATGGTTTTTTTTATTTGGCCTTTTTTGGGGCTGAAAAATGAAGATTTGAGAAAAAAGAAGACGTTGAATGGTAAGTTTAATTTTATTTTACAGGTTAGTTATTTTATTCCCCCCTCACTATTTTTTAGGGTGAGGGGGGTAGGTAGGGACTTTTTATTTGGGTGGGGGGGGTGGTGGGTGACTAGGGGCTTGGGGACCCCTAGTCACCTTGGGGGGGGGGATTTACTTAGGGTCCCCACCCGCAGCCCAGGGGTGGGGGCTGGAGGGGGGGGTGGACAGTAGGTCCCCCCCCCTCATTATCAATATGGCCCCCACCTGCCGCGCAGGGGTGGGGGTGGGGGGGGAAGACAGTAGGTCCCCCCCCATTATCATTATGGCCCCCACCCGCAGCCCAGGGGTGGGGGCCGGGGGGGTAGGACAGTAGGTCCCCCCCTCATTATCAATATGGCCCCCAGCCGCCACGCAGGGGT